AAAACTAAGCTCGATTCTTGTTTTCTAACATGATTCTGAAGTAATTTATTCTGTTTCTTGACAAAAAAGTTTGCGAAAAATTTCGATGATTTTACCAAGCCTATAGCCTTACTTTTTCATCGAAAATCGACAGGTCTAAAAAATCATTATTTTTTCCAAAAAAGGGTTCTTACTTCAAAACTAAGCTCGACTCTTGTTTTCTAACATGATTCTGAAGTAATTTATTCTGTTTCTAGACAAAAAAATTTGCGAAAAATTTCGATGATTTTACCAAGCGTATAGCCTTACTTTTTCATCGAAAATCGACGGCTCTAAAAAATGATGATTTTTTCGAGAAAAGGGTTCTTACTGCAAAACTAAGCTCGGCTCTTGTTTTCTAACATGATTCTGAAGTAATTTGCTTTGTTTCAAGACAAAAAAGTTTGCGAAAAATTTCGATGATTTTACCAAGCCTATAGCCTTACTTTTTCATCGAAAATCGACTGCTCTAAAGAATCATTATTTTTTCCAAAAGAGGGTTCCTACTTCAAAACTAAGCTCGATTCTTGTTTTGTAACATGATTCTGAAGTAATTTATTCTGTTTCTAGACAAAAAAATTTGCGAAAAATTTCGATGATTTTACCAAGCCTATAGCCTTACTTTTTCATCGAAAATCGACGGGTCTAAAAAATCATTATTTTTTCCAAAAAAGGGTTCTGACTTCAAAACTAAGCTCGACTTTTGTTTTCTAACATGATTTTGAAGTAATTTATTCTGTTTCTAGACAAAAAAATTTGCGAAAAGTTTCGATGATTTTACCAAGCCTATAGCCTTACTTTTTCATCGAAAATCAACAGGTCTAAAAAATCATTATTTATTCAAAAAAGGGCTCTTACTTCAAAACTAAGATCGGCTCTTGTTTTCTAAGATGATTCTGAAGTAATTTATTCTGTTTCTTGACAAACAAATTTGCGAAAAATTTCGATGATTTTACCAAGCCTATAGCCTTACTTTTTCATCGAAAATCGACGGCTCTAAAAAATCATCATTTTTTTCCAGAAAAGGGTTCTTACTTCAAAACTAAGCTCGGCTCTTGTTTGCTAACATCATTCTGAAGTAATTTATTCTGTTTCTAGACAAAAAAATTTGCGAAAAATTTCGATGATTTTACCAAGCCTATAGCCTTACTTTTTCATCGAAAATCGACGGCTCTAAAAAATCATGATTTTTTCGAGAAAAGGGTTCTTACTTCAAAACTAAGCTCGGCTCTTGTTTTCTAACATGATTCTGAAGTATTTTGCTCTGTTTCAAAACAAAAAAGTTTGCGAAAAATTTCGATGATTTTACCAAGCGTATAGCCTTACTTTTTCATCGAAAATCGACGGGTCTAAAAAATCATGATTTTTTCCAGAAAAGGGTTCTTACTTCAAAACTAAGCTCGATTCTTGTTTTCTAACATGATTCTGAAGTAAGTTATTCTGTTTCTAGACAAACAAATTTGCGAAAAATTTCGAGGATTTTACCAAGCCTATAGCCTTACTTTTTCATCGAAAATCGACGGGTCTAAAAAATCATCATTTATTCAAAAAAAGGGCTTTTACTTCAAAACTAAGCTCGGTTCTTGTTTTCTAACATGATTCTGAAGTAAGTTATTCTGTTTCTAGACAAAAAAATTTGCGAGAATTTTCGATGATTTTACCAAGCCTATAGCCTTACCTTTTCATCGAAAATCAACATTGTCTAAAAAATCATTATTTATTCAAAAAAGGGCTCTTACTTCAAAACTAAGCTCGGCTCTTGTTTTCTAACATGATTCTGAAGTAATTTATTCTGTTTCTTGACAAACAAATTTGCGAAAAATTTCGATGATTTTACCAAGCCTATAGCCTTACTTTTTCATCGAAAATCGACGGCTCTAAAAAATCATGATATTTTTCCAGAAAAGGGTTCTTACTTCAAAACTAAGCTCGGCTCTTGTTTTCTAACATGATTCTGAAGTATTTTGCTCTGTTTCAAGACAAAAAAGTTTGCGAAAAATTTCGATGATTTTACCAAGCCTATAGCCTTACTTTTTCATCGAAAATCGACGGGTCTAAAAAATCATGATTTTTTCCAGAAAAGGGTTCTTACTTCAAAACTAAGCTCGATTCTTGTTTTCTAACATGATTCTGAAGTAAGTTATTCTGTTTCTAGACAAAAAAATTTGCGAGAATTTTCGATGATTTTACCAAGCCTATAGCCTTACTTTTTCATCGAAAATCGACGGGTCTAAAAAATCATTATTTATTCAAAAAAGGGCTCTAACTTCAAAACTAAGCTCGGCTCTTGTTTTCTAACATGATTCTGAAGTAATTTATTCTGTTTCTTGACAAACAAATTTGCGAAAAATTTCGATGATTTTACCAAGCCTATAGCCTTACTTTTTCATCGAAAATCGACGGGTCTAAAAAATCATTATTTATTCAAAAAAAGGGCTCTTACTTCAAAACTAAGCTCGGTTCTTGTTTTCTAACATGATTCTGAAGTAATTTATTCTGTTTCTAGACAAAAAAATTTGCGAGAAATTTCGATGATTTTACCAAGCCTATAGCCTTACTTTTTCATCGAAAATCGACGGGTCTAAAAAATCATTAATTTTTCCAAAAAAGGGTTCTTACTTCAAAACTAAGCTCGATTCTTGTTTTCTAACATGATTCTGAAGTAATTTATTCTGTTTCTTGACAAAAAAGTTTGCGAAAAATTTCGATGATTTTACCAAGCCTATAGCCTTACTTTTTCATCGAAAATCGACAGGTCTAAAAAATCATTATTTTTTCCAAAAAAGGGTTCTTACTTCAAAACTAAGCTCGCCTCTTGTTTTCTAACACGATTCTGAAGTAATTTATTCTGTTTCTAGACAAAAAAATTTGCGAAAAATTTCGATGATTTTACCAAGCCTATAGCCTTACTTTTTCATCGAAAATCGACGGCTCTAAAAAATCATGATTTTTTCGAGAAAAGGGTTCTTACTTCAAAACTAAGCTCGGCTCTTGTTTTCTAACATGATTCTGAAGTAATTTGCTTTGTTTCAAGACAAAAAAGTTTGCGAAAAATTTCGATGATTTTACCAAGCCTATAGCCTTACTTTTTCATCGAAAATCGACGGGTCTAAAAAATCATTATTTATTCCAAAAAAAGGGCTCTTACTTCAAAACTAAGCTCGGTTCTTGTTTTCTAACATGATTCTGAAGTAATTTATTCTGTCTCTAGACAAAAAAATTTGCGAAAAATTTCGATGATTTTACCAAGCCTATAGCCTTACTTTTTCATCGAAAATCGACGGGTCTAAAAAATGATTATTTATTCAAAATGGGCTCTTACTTCAAAACTAAGCTCGGTTCTTGTTTTCTAACATGATTCTGAAGTAATTTATTCTGTTTCTAGACAAAAAAATTTGCGAGAAATTTCGATGATTTTACCAAGCCTATAGCCTTACTTTTTCATCGAAAATCGACGGGTCTAAAAAATCATTATTTTTTCCAAAAAAGGGTTCTTACTTCAAAACTAAGCTCGATTCTTGTTTTCTTACATGATTCTGAAGTAATTTATTCTGTTTCTAGATAAAAAAATTTGCGAAAAATTTCGATGATTTTACCAAGCCTATAGCCTTACTTTTTCATCGAAAATCGACGGGTCTAAAAAATCATGATTTTTTCCAAAAAAGGGTTCTGACTTCAAAACTAAGCTCGATTCTTGTTTTCTAACATGATTCTGAAGTAATTTATTCTGTTTCTTGACAAAAAAATTTGCGAAAAATTTCGATGATTTTACCAAGCCTATAGCCTTACTTTTTCATCGAAAATCGACGGGTCTAAAAAATCATTATTTATTCAAAAAAGGGCTCTTACTTCAAAACTAAGCTCGGCTCTTGTTTTCAAACATGATTCTGAAGTAATTTATTCTGTTTCTTGACAAACAAATTTGCGAAAAATTTCGATGATTTTACCAAGCCTATAGCCTTACTTTTTCATCGAAAATCGACGGGTCTAAAAAATCATTATTTATTCAAAAAAAGGGCTCTTACTTCAAAACTAAGCTCGGTTCTTGTTTTCTAACATGATTCTGAAGTAATTTATTCTGCTTCTAGACAAAAAAATTTGCGAAAAATTTCGATGATTTTACCAAGCCTATAGCCTTACTTTTTCATCGAAAATCGACGGCTCTAAAAAATGATTATTTATTCAAAAAAAGGGCTCTTACTTCAAAACTAAGCTCGGTTCTTGTTTTCTAACATGATTCTGAAGTAATTTATTCTGTTTCTAGAGAAAAAAATTTCGATGATTTTACCAAGCCTATAGCCTTACTTTTTCATCGAAAATCGACGGGTCTAAAAAATCATTATTTATTCAAAAAAGGGCTCTTACTTCAAAACTAAGCTCGGTTCTTGTTTGCTAACATGATTCTGAAGTAATTTATTCTGTTTCTAGACAAAAAAATTTGCGAAAAATTTCGATGATTTTACCAAGCCTCTAGCCTTACTTTTTCATCGAAAATCGACGGGTCGAAAAAATCATTATTTTTTCCAAAAATGGGTTCTTACTTCAAAACTAAGTTCGATTCTTGTTTTCTAACATGATTCTGAAGTAATTTATTCTGTTTCTAGACAAAAAAATTTGCGAAAAATTTCGATGATTTTACCAAGCCTATAGCCTTACTTTTTCATGGAAAATCGACGGCTCTAAAAATCATTTTTTTTTCCAAAAAAGGGTTCTTACATCAAATCTAAGCTCGGTTTTTGTTTTCTAAGATGATATTGAAGTAATTTACTCTGCTTCTAGACGAAAAAATTTGCAAAAAATTTCGATGATTTTACAAAGCCTATAGCCTAAACTAGCAATAGCACTGCTTACACCCTCTTAATTTAAGAACAAATTAAGAACAATCTAGCCTCAGATTTCCGAAAAAATTAAGAACAGTCAGCCTGAACTTAAATTTACTGGTTCTTTTAAAAAAGAGTGTATTCTAGGAGAGGGCGGGAATCCTTCGATTAGTACTGAGAATAAAGTGAGTTCAATTTCGTTTTTATAGCTAAAGGTTTGATACGGCGGACATAAACGGAATGAGGAACCAGCTACATTATTTTTTCAAAATTGCAATTTTTGGAGAACATAACATGCAATTGGACTTTGGCAAAACATTAGAGAAAAAGCTCAAAACAAACCGAGGATTGGCTTCTCGTTAAGAACATAAGGTCGATACAAAACTTCCAGAATGGAATGGTTTAACTCTGTTCCTCCCCGCCCCGCTTTCCTGATCCTGTTTTCCTTCTACTTCCTACTTCTCTTGTGTGGAATCCCCTTTATTGAGGGGACTCCACACATCTATTTTCTGTAGCAATGACATGACAACCACGTGGTATCACATTCTGTGGTAGTATCCCTGCTGTGATTCTTATTGTTCATCGATCAATGAAGCGAATGTTATTACACAGACTGGTGATAACCCTTGCATTATAACATTTGCTCATTTCGACCGGTTACGAACTAAGACTTCTTAAATTATTTTTTAGGTAAAAGACATGAAAACATCTTCAGCTATGGATATAGATAAAGCAAGCATCCTCGAGACACATCGTCCCAGTCTTGTTGAAAGCATTGACCCAGGGAGAGTTTCATTGCAAAGTTATCTGAGAAGCAAATTTGTACTCGATGACCAAGATTGCCAGGTCATTAAGAGCGGTGTAACGCGACAAGAAAGAGTGTGTAAAATGCTTGACATTTTGGCATTAAAGGGTCCGGCTGCGATTGATCATTTCATTGACGCCCTCGAGTTTGAAAATCCAACTTTATACGAAACAATAACTGGCAAGAAAGCGGAAGCACGTAAGTAGTACTCGTCTTTGTTTACGCACACTGATCTTGCCGTACAATCGAGTAAAGCGATGACGCAATACACATTAATTGTTATGATTTTTGAATTTCTTGATAAATTTTCTGAAATAAATTTTCACTTGATATTTAATAAAATTAATAAATTTCCTTACATCAAAACAGATAAAGTCAAACGAACAAGGCTATTCGCCTCCCTATCTTGATTTCAAATTACACTCATTTTTTTATAAGAACAGGTTATAAGAAACAGAAGGCTCAATTTTTCGAAAGTTAAGAAACGACCCTACCCAAATTGAAAAAAGCTAAGAAACTTTTATAATTTGCTGGTTTAGTTTTCCGAGTTGACACTCAAAACAGTCTTGACATTGTATATTGCAACACTACACTTGACATGCAGTTTGCATTCATTCTCAGTAAATTGCACACTCAAGAAGTTTCCATTTAAAAATTTGTTTTGACTTCAACTTGACATTGATGAAGTTCAATAAGCTTAACTGTTTATAGATCATAACAGAGTTAATCATTCTAGGAAAACAAAATTCCTTGATCACTTTGTTAGTTTATCTCTGAGTGTGAGTGAACTATTTACTTTACTTTGAAGCACGTCTCATTACCTGAGGAATTTAAGAAACATATACATTTAAAGGGACTTTAAATTTAAGAAACGATTGATAGCAAAATGGCCAAAAAATATAAGAAACTGGAAGGGCGCGACTGAATTTTTCTTTAGGCCACGCCCTTAAGAAAGCCGGAAAACGAATAGATTTAACAAATAAGACACAAAAATTAACAAAAAGCCAAGAAACTGCTACTACTACTGGATTCGTAAGAGTAAACTTTCTAAAGCTGCGTTAGAGTAAGCTTTCTAAAAATTACTCTAATCTAATATTGCAAAAAAGTAGGGGGGGGGGGGGCTATAGCCCTGCTGGCCCAATTAGTGCGAAGATGGCTCGATAAGCATAAGCTTATCAGTGTCCTAAAAATTATCTTCGGATTCTAGTTAGAAACAAAAACAAATACAAACAAATACAATGGCTGCGCGGTGCCTGTGTCTTGGTTGGGCCTGAAACCTCTTTCTTAACCAACCCAAATCGGCAGTATCTTGAATGAGCAACGCATGGTAACATTTCAAGATCATCACTCCAAAGAATTAATGCTCAGTTTTAAAAGTAGCTGTTTATAATTCACATAACTCATATTTTTGTCGTCTCTACTTGCTCTTTTAGTACTTTTCACGTATTTCAGTCAGCCAAAAATTGCAATAGGTCGAATTTGATATCTAGAAGTATTCTGTTATAGTTAATGACGTCATCACTTCCCCATTCCCTCAGCTTTTCAAGGTTTATATACGGGGGAGGAGCAGCAATTCAATAAGCACTTTTGGATTAGTTCTGAGTACCCCCAAGCCAAAGCTTCATGCAAGTAGATTACCCATGAATGGTATTTGAACCCATAAATGTAAAAAATTCGTTCTTAAATGTACCTTTAATAAATTAAATGTAAAAGAAGTTCAAGGTCATTCCCTTGAGTACTTTCGTTCCACACATCGATAACCGTACTCGATTCTGAAAGCTCGCCTAGGCTACGCATCATGGCTATCGAAAGTAGCACTGCCCCAAAACTTAAATAACAATTTCATGCATAAAATCAATAAATCGAATTTCGAAACAAATACTCACTGATAAAAAATAAGGCTGACTTTTCCAATTTTATTTACAGAGATAAAAGAAACTTTTTAGCCTGATTCTTTCAGTTTCTAAAGGCTTGGGAAAAAATAAATGCAGTATTCTAGAAACAAACAAGCGTTTAAAGTATTAAATCTTTTACACTACTCTGTGAAATGTCGTTTCGTGAAAATGAATCGATTGTAAAAATTTTCCAGGCTTGTCCTAATATTTTTTCGTCTTATAAGATACTTCTAAGTTTTTTCAGATCTGATTACTTTTATATAAGAAACTGTACCGTCTGAGTTTCATGCTAACATGATGCTAACAATGGATTAATAGAGATTCTTGAAAGTTATTAACAAAAACTCCTATAATTTCCGCAAATAAGTAAAGTTCCTCCAAGAAAGGTAGTTGCTCCGTTGGTTAATCATGATTCCTTGATATAAATGAAGGTAAATCAACTAATGATTTGAAGATTTTAAGATTTCTTGTTGGCACTGAATCTAAAAATCCAGGCCCTCTTTCGGTAAAATTGTGTCTTGTGTCCATTTCCCCTAAAGTTTCTCGGTAGAGTTTGGATGTATCAGGGATTTGCTTTAAATTGTTTGATTGTGGCGTATGTCAAAAAATGTTGTACGCAGAATCCTCAAATTTTAACTTTTTAAATGCTATATCTTTTCGTGAACCAAGACGTGAATGTCGCAAAACAAAATGGGTTTGAAAAATTTGTGTCATATTTGTTCAAAAAGAAAGCAGCATATTGAAATAGTGAAAACCTCTAGCAGCAATTCTACTATCCTTTTTGCATTGTTATTTTCTAGGAGTAGCGCCAGTACCACTTCTTTCTAAAGATGACGTATGGAATTGGACAACAGGTATTATAACTACTACCATTTGACAACTTGTAGTTAAACGTTACAGCATTCAGCGGTGATCCCTTTGAGAGCTGTTTTTTTATCAAGAAACCAGCATATTCCGGGACATGCCACGTCAAGTATAAGTCTTATTGGATTTAACTCTATTTGTAAGTAGCTCATTTATTCAATGGATGTCCTGATCTGGTGAAATAAAAAAGACAGCAGGTCTTTCTTTGAAGTCGTATCAGACAATTGCAGACGTAAAAGAAGAACGACAATCAGATCTTCATATCCTGCTATTTGCTAAGGGGCGAAAGATCTTTGATGCTTTCTACGCGTGCTTGAGGCCCCCTCTGAACTAAGTCTGTGTGGCATTGTTAATCCCGTGCATTTTTCGTATTCAAATTGATTTCTCAGCAGATTTCTGTGTAATTTTTGGTAGTGAATCCGAAAAGGAAAATCAATTTTCCCAACCAGAAAAATTCCAGGAAACACCTATTTCTGGCATGCGTTGATGACAGTATAATGGAAAAATCCCAAAATCTACTACGTTTCCAAAAAAACTGCAGGTTTTCCATGGGAAATGCTACTTTGGAGATGCTGAATTCCGAAAAATGATGTTCCCAGGGCCGAGGCCACCTCAAAGGAAACCTTGAAGCCGGGGGCACTTTTCACTTAGATATCTTATTGATAGGTGATAACCTAACAATCTCTTTTCTATCCCCAGTTTTAAATTTAAGGTTGTCAACTCTGACAAAAAATTATCCGGTATGTATGCATAGAACACAGAAAAAGATGCGCGCTTTGATGTCTAGAGCAGGATAGGAAAGCTTCGCGCCTTCGGCAATCCTCAGGTTACTCTACTATTTAACAGGGCCACCAAAAAATAACTTACAAAATAGATACATGCATGGAAGGGTTTTCCAAGTTGAAATCATGAATGTAAGTTTTCGTTCCACATTTTTCTGCAGGAATCGATGGGAAGGCTTTAATTGATTTTGACCGACAATTCCTGGCAAACCAGCTTGACAAAGCTTTGAGTGACTTGAAAGGGATGACATATTGGCAAAGCAAAATGATGGAAGAGAAAAACATTCTGGAAAGGAAACTGTTTGAAGCTTCTGACGATCTACAGTCGAAAAGCAAGTATATGGAGGATCTTCAAGAGAAGATAATTCACTTGACATCAGACACTAGAGCAACGGAGACTGAAAAAGAAGCAGCAATGAAAAACATCCCCATTCATGGGTACCTGCAAGAGCTTTGGAGGGACAATATGGAAAGAAACAATATAATCATAGTACTTCAGTCATATATCATGTTTTTCAAGGAGCAGGTATGGTAACTCCAATATTAAGTGATTCTGGGGAAAACTGGGGAAAATTAAGTAGCAAATTGCTGTTCTTATTATTTTCATCTATTTATTTTTTCACGTTTTATACTCTGAAGAGTGTCAGGCGGAAGGCTTTAGTACTACGGTTCAAATAGGTTGCTTTTTCAAATTTTTTCAAATTGAGCCCGGAACAAATGGCGGCCATATGGGCAATGACCGTGTAGAAAGCCAATGAAAACAAAAGAAATTAAATTACCACGCCCAAACCTCGCCTTATTTTCTTTGTTTTCTGAGGAAGGTTTCTAAAACTTGAAGAAATCCAGGAAGCTTCAGGAGAAAGAACAAATACTTTTCTGTACTTTGACTAAAGATTAACGCAGCCACTGCGGTGACACAAATCATGTGCTGGGCTGTTCACACTTATGATTTTCTGTTTCAATTTGCTCAGTTCTTACAAGAGCTACACTGTTCTTCTATAAAAAGACCTAATGAACAAAGCTACAAAGTGGGGTTTTGCAGCAAAATCCCATGTTTATTTGTCAAATATCCAGCACATTATATTTATACTTTTTCACCATTTGTTCAGTCAATTAGTGCATGTATAAGCTTAATTCTGTTTCCATCATAACCGTGTTATAAGAAAAAACGATAAAAAACATTTCGACTAGCACTCTAATGGCAACGGCGTCGTTGTAAAAATGTTAGGAAGAAGAGCTGTGCTCTAGGGAACTTCTAGAAACCCTATCAAAGACCTGTGGCCTTCTTCTAGACCACACCCTTCGTCATACCCTTTATATTTGCATTTGTGTTTAAGATTTTCTGTTGTTTGTATGAAATATTTAAAACTATTCACCGAATTATTCAACGCTAATCATTGATGGAAAATTATTAGCAAAAAAAGGATTAATTCACATTGCCAAATAAGGAATTCACCCAGCCAAACATATACTGGCTGACTTGTTGAGAGGGCTGGGCCCCTACAAATCTGTCATTATTTTAACAAGGGGACTTCGTCCCCGAGTCCTCCTTTACGGTGCCACTGCTTAGCGATTATGTCGATGGCAATCCATAAAGTGAACCAAATGCTTCATTCTAGATTGAAAAACTAGAAAGAACTAACGCGGAACTTGTTTCAAAAAGTGATGGTTATCAGAAGGAAATAAAAGAGCTAAAGATAATGCATGACTTTGAGAAACGAAACTCAAAGAGACTTAGTGAAACAATGGCCTGTCAAACAGAAACAGTAGATTCGACCAAAAAGGAGCTGCTTCAACTGAAGTTCAAATGTAGCACTCTAAAGGAAGAGAGAGACAGCTTGAAGGCAGAATTCAGCTACTTCCAGAAGTGGACAGAGATTCTAAATATAAGGTATGTAAAATTCAGTCACTAATATCAGCTTTTGTTGTCTTTTTCTTTAAAGTAAAAAATATGCGTAGAGTAATTTCTTGTTTTGTAAAGTGGAACTTTCACAATAAGAAGTGTTTTTTAAGATTTCATCAACCATGTTTCGATCACAGTCATGTTTGTTACCAATGTATATCGGTAGTGACGTAATAAATATGGTTAGTGTTCGAGGCACTCAACCTTCCCCTATACCTCGATAAAGTATCTGTATTTGTGAATTTGTGCCAAAATGTCAACAACCCAACCTTGCTGTGTCACTCCATTCTCGTCTATTTATGCCATTCATATTCATTAACAGCAATAAGAGGTAGCAAGTCATTTGTCATATCTAAATTCAATTAATTATGAAAATTCTAAGCTCTTTATGCAGTAATGACGTATGTAATGAACACAGGGGATAAAAGGGAGTAACTAGAATAAACAAGCATGTGACCAAGTCAAATATATGTCGAAGTTACAGATCTTGTTTTAATTCAAAGAGAGCATTTTCCTTCATTACCATATCAACCCACAGAGTTTATACTTTATAAACTGGTTAAATGTCTTAAAATATAGTCTCGTCTATTGATAACGTTACAGGTGTTAGGAATTGTAATGGCAAACGACAGTTCAATGGATTTTATGAATCAAAGGAAGCAAATGGAAAGTACTAACATAAGGAAATCAACATAATTAGAGTTAGTGATGAAAAAAAACGCTAAGGAATTAAGCGTTAATGTGGTTGAGTGAAATAAATTATAGCTTTAGTTTTGAGTCATTGAGTTTTAAACAAGAAGTCATCTGTAGGTTCTCTATGCTTAGAAGTTAGAAATAACTTTGCAATTTAACATCTTCAGGTTTGACGAGCTAAATAGCGAAAAAAACGTCCTCCGAGAGACGCAAAGTGATATTTATGGCCAATTCAACATGCTACATGATCACTTGGACAAAAAGGAAACTCAATACCAGTTGCTAGAATTTCAGTATGGACGGTCTTTATTGGAGGTTGAACGACTTAAATCAACTTTGGACAGCGTGCGAAAGCAGCGAAATATGTTACATGAGGCGAAAGAAGATGCATTTGTCGAGAAGCATAGCATTTTGAAAGAGAAAATAAAGCTAGAAGATACCCTGAAGGAATACAAACAAAAATACCAAAATGATATGGAAAAACATGAAAAGATTTACGAGGAGCTCGAAAAGAAACACTTTGAGCTTCTAGATGAAGTAAAGTCGATGGAAAACAAAGCTGCAGAGGCGGAAAAGGCATTGGCAGATGCAAATACTGCTCTCCGGAATTTTACAGAGGTATGTATTCAAAGTGTTCTTATTCACGATGTTTCGGTGAACAAGTGGCCAATATGTATACCAATTTTGCCTCAGCAGAACCTAAAATCCCGGACAAAAATGTTGAGACAAAATGCAATTTTTGTAATATTCTACTCTACCTTGCCCCTGTAAATTCGAATCCCCCATCCCACATATAAGATGTCAGCGTGCAAAATGGAACTGTAAACATTGCCAATAACTGCATTTACAGAAACCAGCGTACAGAGATAGGGGTGCGTAGGTAGAAATAAATATGATAGAAATAAGTTTTAGAATGGTCGGTATAACAGGCCAGGCCTCGAAGAACAGCCTTGGACCATTTCATTTTTTAATTTTTTATTTTTTAAATATTTACTTACAAATCCCAATCAGCTCGTAATGGTTGCCTAGAAATTCGACCTCGTGCTTAATCTTATTCGATTCTCAGTTTGCCTTTTTTGATGTCATGTTTCAACCTGCAGAGAAAGGAAAGTGAATGTTCTAGTCCTAAAGAAAATGTACCACCTGTGACGCTAAGAACCAAACCTACTGCCTCTGTGGCGAGATTGAAGCAAAATCGAAACCGGGACAGTCTCATCGAGAGCATCCGACGCAAAGTGACATGTGGAGATATATTGTCGCAAATTCAAAAAAGTGACAGCTTGCCAGCGTATCTGAGAGATATACCACAAGTCCAACAGGACAGCAAGTCCGCAACTCTACCAGCTATTGGCCATTGCAATCTAAAACTGGATCTTAACAGGCCAGATCGGCTAATGAAAAGTATATCGTCAACGTCCTCAGCCACCCCATCACCACTGCCATCTTCGAGCCCCTATACGTTAATATTTCCGTCGGCTGCCATATCTTCATCAACCAGTCCGTGCTTTGATGAATCATCTTCAGGGCAACAAAAAGACAGAGGTAAGAGCCCCGCCGCTAGGCCTATGGAAATCTTCTATGCTTGTTAAGGTCATTACCTACCTTCCTACCATATAACTCTTTCTAAAATCCAAGGCTCAGAAAAACGGTAGATGTTCCTCCAGAGGTAGCCTAGCCTTGAGTTGCACTAGTCCTTAAAAGGAGTATCATCGAGGGGTCAAAAATATCAAGTTCAGCTGAATCTTATAGGCAGTTGAAAAATTGCAACTAGGAATTTGGTGTAGCGAGAAACTTTGTCCACGCTCCATGTCATGTTTTCTGAACTTCCATTTTAAATTGTCCAAAAAAAAAGCAAATACGTAGCATCGATTTTCATTGTTTGCTGATATCAAACAACATTCTACATATGTGATATAAGAGTCTTCTCTTTCAAGCATGAATCAGGCACTGAATGGTCGGAGAACAATTTTTTATATTGTAGCATTGAAATTGGAAAGGTTATTATTAGGCGGTGTGACGTTATTCCCTACAAAACAGAGCGGTATCAGACATTTTCGCTAACCGATTTTCTTACTTGCTGTGAGAGATAAACTTAAATTCCCATTGCCATAAACAACATACAAGCCAGTTAGAACAAGCCCATGCAATGATGCCGTTTCATAACCACCCTACCCACCAATTCAGTACTTCACATTCTAACACAAAACTGCTCGCGCTCTTATGACTCAAATTCTATCTCCGAGACCTCGTCTCAGACTTTCGTTAGTCTATCTCCTAATTCATTAACCACATTTTAACAACAACGCCATAGATGCTTGTTAAACGTATCTTTATATATAAAAACATCTAAACATTGAAGGGAATATTCCTAAAAGTTCCATTCTTATGATTTTTCTTAGAAAATGGGTATACAGGTGGATTAAAACAAAATGACTGCACGTTCAGGGAGCGTACAAACTGCCTCGAACGAGGTGAATTTTTCCGCGGTCGTGAAAGATCTGTTACAGCTCCAGCAGCTCCGACGTCAATGACAGCAACTGAGACATAAATAAAAAGCTTTTTGCGGCACGAAATCTCCTCAATGTTTTGAAACGTGATGATTGTATGGTATTCGTAATATCAACAAATGAACTTGGAATGGTTCTGGAAATGAGGTGCTAGGGAAAATTGAATTCGAACAACACCCACCGGCAGCTGAATTATCTGGTTTTGTGAACTGTTAGAAGGATAGTAAAAGATGCCATCTCATCTTAATTGATTTTAGGCTGTTTTGTTTTTTATGGTTAATGCTATTTATAATGTTTTCTGCATGCTTATGGGGGCCTATGGTAGCAAACTCAACGAATTGAAGACACTGTTGCTTCTTTCATACAAAGTATTTTTAATAGAGAAACGAAAACGTATTAGATATGTCGAGTTATTTCGTATAATACCTACTAGTTATGATTAATTATTTATAGAAATTTCTTACCCTTAAAATATCACCAAGATACTTCGGATTTTGAAAACCAAACGCAAAGATGGTGTATTTTATTGATTAAACAACAGTAAAAAACTGCCTGCTATGCAAAGTACCTAACGTAATCCCCAATATTAACAAATGCAGTTTTCCCTGTTGATTGATTAAGTTTGATTTGCTCACAGGATGCTTGGCATATAACTAAATAGGACTAATGGCAAGGCGAAAAAACTGGCCTATTATTTGCTCTAGAGGTTTTTACCAACGTTGGGAGAAAACTTAGATTAGACTCCTAGATAAAAATCTTGGTGAATAGCTTATATCGGTTAACCAAATCTCCTGAAAATGGGCAGCCTAAGAAATTCATCTATTTGACCATTTCCGTTCTCGGGTAAAGGTGTGAAACCGACTGTGGAGTTTGAAACCCTGCTGCAAGTGGTTTGATATTCATTTTGACCTTTAAAGATATTTGACCCGGTAAATTTTATGGTACAATCCTGAATTGAAAATTTTATAGTAAATGATGAGCAAAAACAGATAAAGTCGTTTTTTAACTTTATGAGATAAAAGCAAGTTCACTACCTAATACAATAAGATACAGCAAAACTTTACCTTAGTTTTATTGTTTCATCTTCAATGGCTGCGATTGGCGTGAAATTGTGACAGTTCCTGGGAACCCAATGGGACGTTCGCAAGGATATTCGATAACTTCGATTGGATTTCCAAAAAGAACCAGGATTCCAATATCACCAAAACAGGCAATATCAAGACAGCTTATACCAGTTAAAACAAATGTGCCGAACATTTATCAATTGATTTTAAATCGAAACTTTTTGAAGGACATGGAACAACCCTTTACCAAGATTATTTACGCAAAATAGAAGAAGTTTTAATCCAAAACAGAGGTGCTAAACTAATTTTGAATTTTTTTGAGAATCATTTCAGCCAGAAATACCACAACGTTGCGTCAATAAAATCACCTTTAAATCGTCAATTAAATTTGTGACTGAAAATATATTCTTTTATCTTTATCATACATATTGATAGATAATTTGGTAATGAAAATATTTCTCTCTTACACTGTTCGTATAGATTGCGTATAAGTATTTTCATAAAGAATATAATACAAAATAACAAAATGCAATATTCAGATTAAGCTTGGAATTCACAAAATGCAATATTTAGATTAAGCCTGGCCTCCACAAGGCAAATTCGGTCGCAAGGAGTAATTCACCAAGCGGTGACCTGAACACTTCACGATTCGAGTGATTTAATTTTCGCTCAGATTATTTTGGAAAGAAAGTTTGATATGGGCCTAATAAAATGAAAAATAAGCACGAAGATGAGCCGATTTATTCCTCCGGAAGTGTGAGCAATATTAGGCATGGACATTTTTCGAATCCCATTTGTCGCAAAAAACGTTTTGCCTATAGCTAATTCGTTCCGTAAGACCTAATAGATGTCATCTTTCTATGGTCGCAGCAAGCGCGCCAACGACAAGCGCTAGTAGAGGTCAGCCTTAACGAATGATTAGTTTAGGTTGAAAAACAAAAAAGGGTAGGACAATTGAGAACCTATGATAGAACGACCAGAAGTGGTAAGAGGCTCTATGTATAGGGAATGCAGACTGCTTGTCAAAAAAAAATTTCGTAAAAAACAGGAGCGTTCCACTGATTTCTGGAATTGTCACATATAAAATGGATCACAATTATAGATAGAATAGGTTACAAAGCTAAAATGCTGGACAGATTATGAATAGGAACTATTATTGGGTACAACTACCTAATGACTAACCCCCTTCCCCATCCAATTATTGAGAAAACATGCCAAAGGGTGATCTGCAGTTAACGCAAGGGCTAATTAACGTGAGTATGTCGTAGAACTGCATATGTTTGCCTCCAGTAATGACGTAAAGCCTCAATCTGCAGTGATACCAAATTCAGTTACGCCAAATGTTTTTTAAGATAATGGAGGGACTCCAAATTTTGATCGAAGTCAGATGTGAATGTAGGGGAGGGCATAGGCCATAACACCGTGAGAAAATGGCAAAGAGATCTGTGTAGTGTCTACCTTACGTTGCTCAATGAACAAACGAAACTTCCAGTGTGGCAAACAAAGCAAACCTTTTGGCCTATGTATGCCACATTTTAATCAGAAGGAACAAACTGAATTGTCGTGACGAGCTATTGAGACATACACAGGAGTTACTAACGTGGGATTCACAGAGACTAAGTACGACATAAGACATATTGGGTTCCTCAAAGCATTCCAAACATTTTGTACAATAAGATGAGATTCATAAAACTAACTGCAAGATTTCAAAAATGACATGGCATGGCATAACTCGATTATTATGGCAGCTAAGGCAAACCTTTCATGTTCAGTGACAAAAATCTGAAATTTGATTCGTCAAATCCAGACATTCTTGAAAACATAATTGAAAACAAATGACTGCATACAATATTTTTACAAGTTTAAAATGGCATGGAATTTCAAAACAGTTATAATGATATGTAAAATACGAAAACAACGTCCTTCCACTGTAGAAATGCTTTTATCTGGTGATGACAGATTTAGTAAAAAACGTAGAAAAATCAATTGGCTGCACACTCAAATACTGTGCGACCACTAATATCCTCACTAGCAGACGAGCAGAGAAGCATTTCAAAGCCTATTTCAAGCCGTAGAGGCGAAGAAGAGCATCTGTGTTGGGCTCCCTGCCCTCGAAATCAATGAAGACCTTCTTCGGGTGGCGTCCTCCACCAAGAGCTAAATAAGTGTTCCGGAATCTAACAAGTAAGCAGTGTAAGATCAATAAGGATCACATGTTTTTCTGACACAACAAGGATGTCCAAAGGGGACAACGAGTCTTTTTTCTTTTAACATAAATTACAAAAGTTTGTAAGTCACGTGGAATGAACAATTTTTTTATGATAAGAGCCCACAAATTCGGATTAATCACTACGGACAAATGTATTTTGGTTTCGAAACTTTTCAAAACCTCTAAAAGCAAAGGGCAGCTAGATACTTCAACCAACTAAAGGACTATTGTTAAACAGGGAGGCATTAGCCAATCAAATGAAGCTAGTATATTTAGTTGAAGAAATGATCTCATCTCCAAGAACAAGAAAAGTTTTTATTAATGAAACATTATTAAAAAGTGACCTAAATGAAGTTAATTTCCGTTAACCTTTAAAAAGGTTATTGGAAGTCAAATTTTCAATTCAAGCTTCTACGGATGTCACGGCTGTTGAGACTAATGACATTGTGTTACAAAATATCCTGGCAACCGAAATCTGAAACTTCATATCTCCGACTTGATATATTGCAATCGTAAGCACGAAGCCAAAAACAGCAAAAATGGCGTTGCTTTTGAATGGTATTGCGCAGGGGTTGCTTTTAAAGAATAGTAGGGTACATGGGAGAATGCTCAATTTTCAATACAGTGGTTTCATCCAACCGATGTAAAGGGAGTTGTCAAAACAAGTAAAATCAGATTAAATTTGAGCATACCTCGCTCCGACTTCACTAACCGCCTTTCTGTTATCTAGTCCCACACTTTCGAATGCTGAAAACGCGTCTGCTGCCATTACCTAAGAAATGACGTAGATACCGTCATATTGTTCCTCTTACATGATTCGCAATATGAAACGTATTAGTAAGTCATTATTGGGGGTTAATAGACTGGGGTTGGTGCAGAATCATTTCTTAAGGAGCATGGAAAAAGCAGAGCTCAAAGAATGGAAGAATAGGTAAGGAGTATTTCACAAGGCTGAGCTTCTGTCCTGGGTACAGTGGAACTTGGAGTTGAAAGCCGTCTGTAATGTTAAGTGAACAATGCCCCGCCAAATCTTGGTACACTAACGTCAGTTTTCAAGCACAAATTCAGCCATTCCCCTTCCCCCTTTGAACAATGTTTGTTTACTACAAAACGACGTAGGGGATTAGGAAGTACGCTTTTCTGTGATTTCTATGGTATTTTTCTATATTATCAAAATTGTTTTGGATAAAGGGGGTGCAGAAATAGAAGCATCCGGGAAAAGAATTAAAAAGAAAATAAAAACAAAACGCAAATGACTTTGTGTTCCAAGTTCTTTTGACAATGATTGTAGGTATCACAATGCGCTGTCAAAATGACCAGGAATTTGTACTTGGTGGGGCCTAGTATTAGATGCTAGGAAGAAACAATTAACAAACTAACGAACCAAACAATTAATTCAAAATCAAACAAATCAGCTCTCACAACCAATCAACCCATCAAAAACAAAAAAGCCAAGCACAAATCTTACTTAGCATAGAAAGAAATAAACGCGTAGAAAATTAAGTATAGATGGTAACCCTTTGTAAATATTTTGCAAATATCAGAATGGATCTAACGATGATAAAGCATGTTTTCAACAAATTTACATCATTTAACCAAGGCATCAAAATGATTGTTTGATTGTTTCCAAAATCGTAGGTTTTGCACAGATGATTTTAAAAGAAGCTTTAGTGTATCTTTGGTCGCCAAAACCTCTACCGTACACCCCCAATGACGTGGGAAGTAGCCCTTAAAATGTTTAGGCAAATGATCTACAAACCTTCCTTTAAAGGAAATCTGCACTATCTACAAACTCAGAAAGCACAGGTAAGACATATCTAAAAAACTACAAACCTCTGCCCATTTGTATGAATAATATCCAGCCGCGTACCCGCCTGAGAAGATATGCCCAAAGGTGCATGGGAACATGTCTTCTGGTAAGGGTTTGAGCACTCGGTATTTGTCTGCAACTCGCTTCTTCACACTTTGCCAGCTATCATTGCTAAAACAATCCAGAAGGGAAATCTTGTAAGCAGCCATCAAGATAGCAACATCTGACAAGACAGTTCGTAAAACAAATTCAAAAACAAGACGATAAAAACAAGAAAAACTAGAAACCACGTTTTATTTCAAGTTTTTTCCTGAAATGGTGACTTTTTAAGAATCTATCAAAACTCAGTCACGCCTTTGTATTAGGCAACCGATGTGAAAGAAGAAGAGAAAGAAAAGAAAATAGAGAAGAAGGGAAAAAATTGCGGCCTTTTCATCGGTAGCCTATGTATTTTGGCAAAAAAATGGGAGAGTATGGCAGCGAAGAGTGATCCCCTCGTGCTACTGACGTGGCATTGTCTTTTTTGCTTACCTCAAATGCAACTCCAGATCTAGGGCAGCATAGTAAAGTTGTTGCAGCATAGAAGAACCAGCCATATATTGCCGTGCTGCAATAGAACGTAGAAGTTACACATAATCTCAGGTAACAATGGAACTACTGTTGATAAAAGGTTATTGACTAGTGACTACTGGAAGGCTCAAACAATTCTTTGCTAGCATTTTAAACTTTCCAGGACGTACACAGTTGCTGAGATTGTGAAAAATTAGGAAAAATACTCGGAAGAACTGGGTAACAAAGATATATAACAAAGAGAGAGATTTTTGGTGTGTCTAGCACTTTGTTCTGAGAGCTGAAACATAGTCGAAGAAAATTCTGCCTATTAACATTTATATCTGCAAGTCACATCAAAGCCGTTTGCCCATCCGAAAGTGGAACTTCAGCTCTGACGTCAAACATCGAAATTTTTCGGCGTTCGAGAATGTTTTGATTCTTGAGTTTAAAGCCTGATCTACACGAAACGATTTTTGTCCTGCGAAGCGAATTTTGCGCAGAAGTAGAGATTAGAAAATTTCGCAACGAATAGTTCGCTTCGACAAAAGTAAAAACCATTCCTACTATTTCGTTGCGAAATTGTTCGAGTTGTAAGATAAATCAATCAGAACAGCATTTGAGACAGCGGGCATCTGTTTTGGTTCCTGGTGACTTAATTTTTTCCGCATTCTTTTTCTCAAACACTTCCACCTATACAACGTCAATAAAATAGGCTGGTACATATTCATTTCCTCGTACAAACTTTATTTTAGTTTATTTAAATCAGATCATTATTCAGACATTTGAACTTCAAATTGATGCAAACTACCTTGAAAGTTCAATCGTTCTTTCTATACCAATAAGTCTGATGTAAACGATCGGCGAGAATTTCTTCAAAACGCTAAAATGTTGGCTGTTTATTTGCCAGCCAAACATCAACAGTTTCAGTCATAAAAGACTCAAGATATGTTCGATGCAGATGCACAACTAGGACCTTGCATGTTTGCGCAGGCTTAGATGGCGACATTTGAAAGTATTTGGAGTAGTATTCCTGGTTATGTAAACATAAATCTCTTACCGAAAGATGAAACTATCCCTTCTGATGACATTCTGAATAAGTTTTTCTAACCCAGTATCGCTTTTTACTGTTTTGCTCGCTTTTGCAATAAAATTAACTTTAAAATCTCAAGCTTTCTTATAACAGCGCTCTTCATACAGTCACTTTATTCTTTTACGATAATTGCAGCAAATTGGCATAACAATTTCTGCCAGTGTAAATTGAACTTCCAATTCGAAAGAAAAAATCGCAGCTAAAAAAAACGTGGCGAAAACTTCGCTCCGCAAGAAAATTTCGTCTCATGATAATCAAGCTTAACTTTTTTGTGACTTAAGTTTTTTTCTTAACTTCTTAATTTTAAACTCGTGCAGATAAACACATTAAATATCACTTAGAATCACTTAAGAATGCGATGGTAATCAGGCTCAAACACTACCAAAAGGAACCACCAATGAAAACTATTTTTTGGCAAATTACAATGAAGAACATCTTTCAGTTTCAAATTTCAATACTTTGTCAGAATATACTGTCCATTAACCCACAGTTTATAGCAAGCACAGTCTCGTGAATTGGAATATGGCGCGCTCGAAACATTTCATAATTTTCAAAACAAACATATTGCATTGTAATTCGTGTTATAAAAGCACATCGAAAGTGGAAAAAGATTTTCAGCGTACGCTGTAGGACTTGAAGATCGCCAAAATCACGTAAGATTTGCGCAAAAGACGTAAGACTTGACAGGTATGTGTTAGGGGTATGGGTAGGTATTGGGCTACTGATAACGAGCTTATGTTCAAGCCTGGCGGCAAAAGGTAAACAAAATTAAAGGCTGACAGCAACCAAAGAGGCAATTTATGGTATACAGTCGAAGACTTATAATTTATTGTATTTGTTCGGGAGCTGAATCATGCCCATATTCCAGACATGCACTAGCCCTCGTTTCAGGGTCATTGCACATGCGCATTATTACTTGAAGCCCCGGCGGGAAGGTGTGGTCTCAGACAGAACGGCTGTGTGAATACTGATATTAATGCGCATCTGCTATGACCCTGTAACACTGATTGGTTTAAGACGATATTGTTTCGAAACAAAGGACTGAAGGTTTCGTCTCCCGAACAAGTATGGTATTTAAGGACACGACGTGGATGTTATGCCAACTTTCAAAGCTTTACCCAGCAAAAAGGCAGAAGAGACGATAGAGAAAATTGTTATTTTGAATTCCAGCAAACAGATTTCACAATGAGATATCGTAAATGCTCGAATTGGCCCCTAGATTGGTTGATTGTTGCCATCTGAGGTCGCCTTAGGTGTTTTTTGAATTACCACAAAAATTCATACTTTTGGTAATATTTAATTAAATGTTAATAAAGTAATTCCTACTAAAATGTACGAGGTCTTTCAATAATGTCTTCTAGATGTCTACTATAATTTCACAAGCCTCCCCCTCGTATAAGCCCCCTCGAATAGCCCCCATCCAAAAATATCAAAAATAAATAAGCCCCCAGGAGGTTAATTCGAGGATTTACGATATCTACGCTTGATCCTTTTCTATTACCTTTCACAAGTTGATCAAATATCTCGCGTGGAAGCTTCTCGCCTGTTTTGTAGTGGCTGCTCACCATCTGGATGGTAGACCAGTCGTACAGCCAATTTTCCATAAACTGGGATGGCACCTCGACCTGTGGATCATAGAATAAAAAATAGTGAAGTTCTGGCACGCCTAATTTCTACAAAGATTTATATGACGAGTAGACGTGAATAAAAAATTATTTTATAGTAATTAATAAGAAGGCATCTTAAAACGCACCGCATCCCATTCGATGTTGCTTGTTCCAGCCGCCTCCGAATATTTCACAGTTGTAAGCATGTGCTGAAGCCCATGGCCAAACTTCAAAAAAAAATATCTCAAAGAATTAATACCATGAATATTTCTGGTATTAAAATAAAATAAAAATGGCTAAAATCGCTGACTCTGGAATCATATCATGAACGTTGGAAGATAAAATACTGAAAAATTACCAATGACCTGCCAAATCCCCCCTCCCCCGAGCGGCTGCTTCTTTTAGTTATAAATTATTTCAAAAGAAGACGTCAATGTCAAATGAATTGGGTACTATTGGGTTAGTAAGAAGAGAAGGATTGTTAACAGAGTGCAATTAGAAAATCAAAACTTTTTTCTAGCTAAAACTTAGCTTTGTTGCTGTATTTGGGCTTTTGCCACGTAATATAATTACCTCGTGGAAAAGTGTGTTGACTTCACTAAATGTCATCAAAGATGGTTTGACATCAGAAGGTGGACTTTGGTTACAAACAAGAATGGCGACGGGTTTCCGATTCAGATTCTCGCTTCGAGCTTAAATAAAGATTTGAAAAATATTAAAGATAATAAACTAGGTTGCTTCGACAACGTGAACAAAAATGTTTCTCAAATGCTTATAATGTAGAGTTATGTCCCTATCAGAAACAGCATGGAAGCAGTAAGTGCATGTTATCATGCATATATGGACTGCACTTCATTTTTTATTACGTTCTTCTGTATATTTTTTGTGTGAAAATGGTAAAATGTGATTTGGTTGCTTTCTTAAAGGTTTGAGAAGGAATTCACTTTTAATGGAGCAAAGTATATTGTACAATATAATATTTAAGCATGTCAATCAATATTTAAGTGTGCAAAAGCCTCAATTTCTGGTATTTGATCTTCATGATTTTTGATAGTTCGATTGTAGTTTGTTTGACACAATTCACAGTATTTCCTAATTACTTTTGGGTCTTCATTTTTCTTTGATTTGGTGCGAATACGAAGCAAAATGCAACATTATGAAAATGAATCAGTGTAGAGCTAGTTAAATTCTGTGTAGAGACTTAGATCACTGATGACCCTCTCCGAAAACTTCTTACCATCATGCTGATACTATCAGAGACAATCTATCACCACTAAGAATCGTTTTAGGAGGGGCAAACCCATCAGTAAAAAGCTCTATGCAAACAAACAGGCTCGACAACGAAGGATTCACATTTCAATCTTCGATTAAACCAAACAAATATAAGACAGAATCATCTTACCAATAATTGGATCCATCCAGGCACCACCTCTCTTCTCACTTGGCCGGGAATAAGGATCAAGATAAAACGATGCAAGAAACTGTCCTGAAAATTCAAAATAGTCTACATCAATAAATACATCATGCATCACAGAAGTGACAAATGAGGGTATTTCTTGACATGATGCACTAAATGTTAGAATTTTTTATAATCTTTCAACAGAAGGGAAAAAGACAGAAGTCAGAGTTCAGAAAAGCCTCAACTTTCTTCCAGATGAAACTTTGACATAGTTGCCATCCTCAAGATTTTGCCTGTTTTATTTGAATCAAATATCTTTGAAATGAAATTTTAAAAAATTCATCTTTGGTTTGGTCTTTGCCAGAAAAGTTCAAGCACAACGGTAAATTTATTCTATATAGTGTATAATATATACTGTTGTCAAGTTATGCATTGGCCTTCCTTAAAACTACTGCAACTATGAAAACCTCCCTCCTATGGAACCGTAATGTTTTGTGGACTTGGCAAAGGTTTGTTATTTATTGCTGGCAAAGATTTCAATCATACAAAGATGGTTGGCTTGGACGAGCGTTTGTATTCTTTGACCCAAAATATTTGCATTTGTGGCTATACTCAAAACTGTGTAACTCTAGGTTTACCAGGAACGTTCTTCCAACATTACCAACAGCATTCTCTCAATTTAAGAATATTTCTGCTAGATTTTTTATCTAATTTTAAACTTAAAACGGTATCACAAACGCGTAAATAGTAAATGATTTGTTTAACAAGTCACCAATTGGTCCATCAATCAGACAGATGGCCAACAGCAAACCTGCTTACAATAATCGGCTATACTGGGCAGACGTAGAAATGTAGTTTGCACAAGAAATGTAGAAATGGTAGAGGATGTGTGGGTGGAATTACATATACAACAGAGGAGAAAAAGTAGACGACAAAAATACAACCTACCACTCTTATCAAATACTTTGAAAAAGAGAATCGTTTTGTCCCAAGTATCAGCTTCACCAGGGAACTCCTGCAAAAACAAAGTGTCAATGTTTGTTATGAGTTGTCTCAAAATTTTGCAAAATTTTGCAAGACAAGTGACTGAACAACTACTGTAAGTGTTATATTCGCAAAAATGCACTGGATGCAACTTCAATATGCAGTATCACTAATAACTTTGAGTTTAGAGAAATTAAACACAATTGTTTATTCACCTTGATCTCAATACCAAATAATTCAGAAGACAACTTGAAAAGCCCATCGAGAACTCTGCAAAAAATGAAATAAAATTACTAATAAGCGAATTTAGAGGAAGAAAATCAAAAAACGAAATTATCCCTAGCCAATGCAACTTTTCGACAAAATGTACTCAATTTTACCTTTGCAGAGGAAAATATTCCCTTATTTCTTCTTCCTTTAACCTGAAAACATTGAAAAAGCGTTCAAAAATCGGTAAAAATCAGGTGTCATTGATAAAACTTATAAAATCAATTTATATAAGACATAAATGAAATCGCAAATGCGGGCTGACATCTGTTCAACGGTCAATCAAGGATGACGTATAGAACAGATTGGGTGTTGCTGGTGTAAAGTGTGATAGTTGTTGCCTCAAAACTATTTAAATAAAGTTGATCGCAACGAAATGCAGTTTGACGATAAATATGAATGCCAACAACCTATTACATATAAAATAACGCAATTGGGTTTTCAATGTATACAGATTCTGAGAATGTATGAAAAGAATACTGATTCACTGAAATCGATTGGAAATAATTACTCAGATCTGAGAAACATTTACACGGAAAAGTTCAGGTTTTTCATACAAATAAATACAAGACGAAGGGCGTTCGCATAGATACGCAATGGGTTTGAAAATAAGCCATGTTTGCAGATATAATAAATTTTTGGAGCCTATGCATGTGACAGCGTTCGAATTTTATTCTCATAAGGGGGAGGGGGGGTGGAGGGTCTATGGATAGCTCACAGTGGATAAGAGTGATGTGAATTGCAACCTGAACATCTCTTCCTTTTGCCGTTCAGCATAATATGTGAGATCCCATAATTGCAGCTGTTCTTTGGTGCCACTCTTCGACGCATAGTTCTACAAAGTGAGTATTATATGAAAATATAAGTTGAACAAATAAATGAAAGTACAGAGGCAACTACCAAAATAAATAATGTTACAAAAGAAACTGGCAAAGGTAGCTCAAATAAATCCTAGTTTCTGAGTCTCCAACAAAGAGAATGCAAGAGTTTTTTAAATCTTTCTTGATGAATTATCTAGATAAGACTTATCTAGTACGTTTGGGAACTTATTAGATGGTCATCTCTAAAACTGCACAGTTTAGGTCTCTTTTATAGCCAAATCTCTTTTATAAACATACGCAAACCACATTTAATTTCGATAAATATTGCCAGTTTAAGAATTTCCAAAAATAATCACCCTCATGTCAGCAACTTCTTTCTCTGCTACAGGTTTGCTCTTACTCCTCAGTGTCTCAATCATATCAATAACTTCTTTGGGATTCTCTGCCATTTTTGTATCCAACGACATGTGGGCATAATCAGGAAAGTTGAGAACTGTTGCTTGCTCATTTCTTTAAAAAAGAAGAAAATTATTTACTCTGGTGAAGCCATGTATGCCGAGGCAAAATTTTAAAATTCCACACAACATGGATTCTCGTCGTTTTCTTCCTGACCATTTTGCTTTAATCCTGACTATTACTTTCATATCATTACTCATTGGCAGATTCATAGAATCCGGCAGACAGCAGATCCTGCGTTTTTTCCTTCTTACACGATAAATATCATTGCAACTTTTTGCAGGTCAGATTATGAAGCTTAAGAAAGAGAGTACATGCTAAGGTCGATGTTGGTAAAGGAAGTTTCCCGACTTCTATAAAGTAAATGATGGTAAGTCATGTGCACTGAAATTCAGTGCCCGATTCTATAATCAACTACATATTGCGATAACATCATCAAAAGGCAACAAAAAGAATCTATCTTCTTGAAAAGAGAAGATTGATATCAACAAAAAAGTATCAGTTTCTGCTATCAAATGCAACCAGCTAAATTCGATTATTTTTTACTATTTAATATTTCATTTAGGTTTCACTATATTCATTCAGTTGCTCAAAGATGCGGGCAAGGAAGCGGTTACTAAACGGTTCTTGTAGTTTACGAGGCAGAGCTGATGCTAACTCGAAGGAGATCTATTAGTTGCAAAAATCAGCATATTTTGCCTAAAATAGCAGCCAAATCGGTAGAAGTAGGATCTAGATCTTCAGTTAATAAAATACAAGAAGACATCAAGACGCATTCGAACAGATTAGAAATAATCAACCGCTGCACTGACTGGACAACTAAACCGGTCATGTGCTCGCATTTTCCGATTTGCCTATTTCAATCCACAACTGGGTATATATTGTTCATCTTTTTTTCGGGAACTCATTCTGACGTTTTATACTCTGTTAAGTGTCAGACGCCAAATACTATAAGTATGTTGTGAAATGTGTGCATTTTTCCAAGCCAATTTCAAATATTAAATCTGTGAATTGATGATTTGTTGTGAAAGTATCCTCCCGCTAATGCTCTAAAACATGTTCAGAGCATTCTTATGATGTGTGTGAGTCTCCTTGGTCCAGAATAATATAAAGTGTCGCTTTCCTTCCTGAATATTACTTAAGACATCTTAAAGCAATCTCATCATACCTCAACCTCCTAATTGACTCGAGAACGTCTCTATTGTCATGATCCCCAAACGAGGCCCTTGCAATCATGGCTTTGTACATCTTCTCTCTCAATGGCCGATTTGCACTGAAAAGAAAGAGTAAACTCTACCAGAGTGATCTCTATTGAAAATCAACTGGTTGGCCATAAAAAAGGACAAAAAAGACCCACAGTCTTGTCAAAAAACACAGAAACTTATGTTCTTATTGGATATTCGGAGACTGCTCCAAGTCTTGTTAATAAGGAGGGAACACTAGGCTAACTGGACAACATTTAGTAACTAGAACTTTTATATCGGGAGCTTTGTTGAGAAGAAAACTGCGATCATTGCATTTCTTCATCTCAGCTGACATAAAATGCCTGCCAAAGGAGTTTGAACACCAATAGCATTTTTGTCATTCACATTAGCAGTTTCCCACGCTTACCTTTCAAAAACAAGTTAGATAGTTCTTCATAGAAATATGCGAATCGAACGAATCTTATACTTTTTAAACAAAGATAGCTCAGGTGCAATCATTACTTTTCGCAAGCATTGTAGATACAAATCATTGTAGAACTGTTTGGAAGACTGTTCAAGAGGGATTGAACAAACATAAAAAAGAATAGCCAAAATATGATCATAGAAAGTCTGGATTATTTTTGCAGTTTTCATATTATTTCCAAACCAACAACTCAGCACTGATGAAGTAAAAAAGGACGACACGTAATACGCTGCAGTCAAAACAATACGTAGGTTTTCACCCGAGTCACCATGGCCATGTGACTAAAACACACTGCCAAGTATGTACAAGGTAACAACCTTTCCAAAAGGTATATAGATAAAAGATGTGATGGAAAGATACATTAGGCCAAAAAACTTCAATAGTTACATGTTATCTATGTGTTGAAGAGTGAATCTTTTGATAATGCTGGTAGTGTTTGAATACATCGGAGATAGAAACATGAATCACAAACCAATAATTTCTTTGTAAAGCATCTCCATCAAAATTTGCACTAATGAGAATATTTTTCAAAGCGTCTGAGCAAAAAAATTTCTTTTATATTTGTTCAATTGATGTTCTTATCAAAAGTGGGTAAAATTTGTGTTAATATCAAGAGTTAGAAGTAATACCTACAAAGGTAAAGGAGCCGGCAGTCGAATGGAAAAAATCTTAAAGCTAAATAATTCACCAACGTACCTGTGTTTCATAAATGGATTATAACAAGGTGGGTCCAATGTTAGTTTCCATGGTCCCTTTTTCGGATCTACCGCTTTCCTACAAAACAACAAATTATCTTAGTTTAAACAACCATGGCAATCACGGTTTAGGCCAACTTCTGACATTTCTAACTTTCGATAATTTGAATAAATTTTGCCATTCTAGAAAGATGACAAAATTTTGGAAAGAATCTAGGTTTAAGTTTTCAAGATTTAGGCCATTTCGGGTCTTGCTTTTAAGGAGCATATTAGATTTGCAAGGATCTTACAGAGAAAATTACAAAAGTAACAAAAATTCTGGAAGGAACAAAGTGATTTTGTTTGCGTCTTTCACTTGTGCATAGCTCTACAATTTCTACTGTCTACACAAATTTTCTAGACAAGGGAAATTTTGCAGCCCTGGAGACTTAAATTTGAAGTCAAAGACCTAGTACAAAAGTAGATAAAGACTTAGACGCCCGTTTATGATGAGAGATAAGTGTGCAGTTAGTTCCCTTAAAAAGAACCTACTTTCTCAAGATTTTCGCTGCTTTGAGAAGCATATAGTGTTGGGTCTTGCTTTAAGAAGCATATGTGATTTGCAAGGTCAGAGACTCTTACAGAGAAAATAACGAAACTCCCAAAGTACCAAAAGTTTATTCAATCAAAATATTTGTTTAAAAATGTAAATTATGAATCCAGTTGGAAATGCCTGACAACAGTGGTTGGCATATAGATGGTTCAGAGGACAATAACGTTTTAAAAAAATCTTATGATCTGTCAGGCTAAAATAGGCTCTTTAAACTTAAGGTCAAGGAAGAAAGTGTGCGGGTTTCTAACAGTTATATTTTTGCTTTGTATGGATCTACTTTATTTGGCGGATAGAAAAGTTAAGAAACGAGGCAAGATCCATGAGACAAAGCGAAAAATGAATTTTTGTTGATGCAAATAAAAGGTAAAAGAATTTTGACATAAAATTTCTTGACATAAAATGTTGTTTTATTTCCAGGAATCTTATATTCGTCCCTTACTTTAACAACATGGATGCTGTGTTTGAATGTAAAGAGAAATATTAGAGATTTGAGTGTTTTCTTCCATAATCAGGCTTGGCCTTCGCCTGAAAACGTTTTAGCTAAGGCCTTAGCGAAAATTTCAAAGAAAAAATAAACGATCTGTCAGCCCATGCACAATTACTGTATGGCTGGCACTTAAATATTGTATGATAATGGACAGCAAATATTTGAACCAGCTATCAAGAAATGAAACCAAAATCACGCTAGTCTAGATATCACTTTCACTTGTGTGACAAGATATCAAATAATCATGAATCATAATATGTTTGGATAATCTTGGATTAACGTGGCATTATCCAAGATTTGTACTGAAGGTTCTCTTGACAAGCTCGGTTGTCACGTACTAATGAAGTAATTGAAAACAGAATTCCTTACAGTCTTTCTACGGTAAGAAAATTTCCAGTGGATTGCTCATATAAAAGTCCTTTTTGTCATCTTATTATCTAATATCAAAATTAGAATAACATCTTTTTGCGGTAATAGCCACCCATGACCTCTAGATAACATAGTATGCTTAGCAGAACGAGAAGGCAAAGGTTTTACAACTTGTCAACTGAAAGACATTTGATTTGCGACTTATCAAGTTATAAATTTTACCAATTACAAAATGACTAGGAGCTGGTCTTTCATACAAGATAGATGAATATCGATTTACGAGAAGAAATTTTAAAGGAAAACAATTGGACAAAATCGGGAACAAGATTTCATTGCGATACATCTCGACTTAAACGACCTTAAATGGAGAGGTTATTTTAGAGCAAAACTTTTCCAACAACAGATTAGCTTTAAAGATGTCATAAATAAGTTTTGAAAAATTTATTAGCTTTCATACTTTGAATCTTCGGATCCTGCATTTGCCATGAGATGCAAAAGTGTTTCTGGGAGCCCCTCGACATCTTTCGAATCCTCCAGCATGACTCCGAATTCTTTCGTGGAATCTTGTACATTATTGCTGAAAGTGAAAGAATTCGCAGGATAAAAAAATCGAACTAAAGCAAAATTGGGATTAAATTCGTATAAATGACGGCGATTTCTGAAGCAAAGTGATGATTTGGAAACAGTTGTAGGGAATGAAAGAGAGATTATTGTTGAAAATGAGAAGATAGAGTCAGTGTATGGTGCCAGAAGGTCTAAAGAAAAGGAATGATTTCAGTCATTGGCCTAGAAAACTTTGAAAAAATAAAAGACGTCAACAAATTATCAACTCAAAAACATAAAACCTACATGATTAAATATCAATATAGAAAAGTATTTGTAATTTTTCTAACTGCAGGTCGTGTTTCTTCAACAGTTGAACAAGATAAAATCCCGTCAAAATTCTGTTCTGTTTGATAATATGTTCTTTTTTTCAGGGCATACATCAAATGTTGCTGTTTTAGGGATATATTTTGACAGGCCAGTTTGGCAGGCCAAAAATTAGTGCCTTCCAGTCACAAAAAAGGAACGAGCATACCACTGAACAGTACCTGAAATTTACACTTAACGCCGCAAGCTGTTGCAAAATATCAGTATATCTTTCTTTCTGTTTTCCTTCCAAGGAGACTCCACTGTGGTATGAAGACTTTATTCCAGATGCTACGATTCTTTCCTGGACTTCATTCAGGCCGTGAGAGCCATTTGCAAGAATCTGAAAAGGATAAGTTGATAAATCAATCTGTTCACACATGCAAGGTTGTCGTTTAAACTCTACTTAAATTTTCAGACGTGTCAACCTCGGAAAAATACACTGAGAAATACCACTGAATAATTTCGTTAGGCAAAGGGAAACAAGATCTCATGAATTATTTTGTTTTCTCCAAGTTAATGCGAGATACATGCTGAAGTTTAAACTTAAACAGAAACAATATGAATACAAACGACAAACGAAATAAGGCATCTCCTATAACTGGATGCATTTTGAATCAGCCCTTTTTTAAAACGCTACCTACTATTTCTGCTTATCATACTGGCTAACATTGTACTACTGAGAAACAGATCTCAAATATTCAAAAAGTTAAAACTTGCCTCAAACGCATCATAAACTGGTTTGCTTTGGCTAATTCTGGTGAGCAACTTCACAACTTCCGGCTGAACCTGGGTTCATAGAAACATATCTCATTAAGTTCATTTTGGTATTAAATGTAGGATGTAGGAGTATAAAATGATTGATGTGGGAGAAAAATGTAGATGTATCAAAGCATTGGCCGAAAATTGCACCATCTATTTCCTTGTGATCATAGCTTCTTTGAAATTTAGCAGGAAATAACTGTTAGTAATTTAGAGTGAATTACCGAAGAAAGAAAACCAGAGCAAAAAGACAAGCGAGAATATTGGACACGAAAACATATTGTCAACTTTGTGACAATAATAAATGTTTTGGAACCACGGTAAATTATTAAAATATAAATGAAAAAGCATATTGAATCCCGGATGAATAGAAGCATTGAAATTTAAAAGAGACCTCTGCAAGTTTATCACACTATATATTAAATAAAAGATAGTAATTCTATAGTAACACAAAACTCTAGTGAAGGCAATTAATAGTGATTGCCTAATCAGATCAGTCTGATAACTAGAAATGTCTAACTATACTCAGTTATTCATACCCTTAAAAAAATCGACCCCAGTAGGATCAAACAAATGACACTAGACGGATTTTTGCCAATCAATCACCTCAAATATAAGAACCAATGTGTAACGGCATAGGAGCCAGTTCAGAAGATTACAGGTTCCTTTATGCGATTTTATTTGTTGTATTATTAAACAGCAAGAAAAATACGTTTAGGGATAGAGTGCTTTGCAGTCAAGGAACTTCGTGTGATGGCATTTGGGTTTGAAGCTTCAGGTAGTTCTAATCGAAGAGAGAAACAGCGACAGCTAGGAGTGAAGAGTTGGGAAGGGGGAATTATACTCTAGGGCAGCCATTCTTAAACTCCGGCCCGCAGCAAAATTTCATCCGGCCCGCCGAATACTTTTTACCTCGAAAATATTTTTTGCCAACATTTTCAAAGTTTGGAATTCGATTTATCTTTGGTTTATTTGTCCCCATTGATATTTTCTGCAGTAAATTTTAATTGCTTTTCGTAGACAGTTATTGGTCCTTAAGAGAGTACCGAAATAGGAAAAGCTTTATTTAATTAATTCAATTGATCGTTCTAACTGTCTTTTTATATATTTTCATAAAATTTACAACGACAATCAATTACAATACAAAAGCCTAGGGAGCATGGAAATGCATAACAACCCTAATACTTACACTTAACATAGAGACACAAATATTACAATAATAAGCTATAAAAGCGATTGGAGTGGTATCGCCCATTGTTCCAATAGCGTTGCAGATATGACAAATACTCACAAAAAGCTATTTAAAAGGAGATATCAAGTCTACCTATGTTTTTAAACTGTTTTTTAATTTGTTTCTCTTCCCCATCTTACACGCTGTTATGTTAAGATTATTCTAAAACCTGCATTCTTACTATCCATTTTATCTGTGGGTTTAAGTCTCGTTTTTCTAATCTTACGTATACAACTGTTAGTCTTTTGACAGTTTAGATTGTTTGAATTCATAGGATTTGATTATCATCCCCAAGATTACGCCTTTAAGCAGTTTTATCCATCAAAATTACGACAGAAATAGAAGTTAAACAGCGGATATGAAACTAGCCTGACTATGACCAAGATGATTAAATCTAGATTGGTTCCTTGGTGAATGTCAGTCAGTACAGGGTTCGGTTCTTTGAGGAATAAAGGGGCTGGAGCACTGCGTTCTCAAATAGAGGACACTGGCACTTTCCCTTCTTGCAATGATCGCTAATACCCACTTCCAGTTTCTGTTTCCGCATTCAACATCTATACTATTTTTACTGGGAAAAATGCCTGCGATATGCAACGAACTTAATGCGAAAACGAGACGTAGAAAACTACATATGCAAAGGCTATTTTTATCAATTACGCTCATTTCCTTCGAATTGCCTTCTCAAATAAGGCTTAACTCAGCATCCTTTTGCATTTTGTCAAAGAAACTTTAACTTCAGCTAATACGCACAAAATTTATGACTTAATTCCGCATTGCAAGGGACGCTTTTCGTGGTATCTCTCAAAGTAAAAGAAAAACTCTTCAACTATCTAACTAACGGCCTCGTTTTGGAAGTTTCTCCAAACTTCATTGTACGAATTTTAAAAGCTCAAATTTAGTTTCATCGTTATAATTTTAATATAACTTTAGGACGGATACAATTTTTCATATTGTTTATGCTTGTATTTAGATTTTACGGAGAAATGAAGTTCCGGGTAAAACAAATTTGAATGATCAAGGAGGGGCCTCGACACATGCTGGAAAGTAGGGGGCCAAGGGCAAATTAAAGAACCATAAGAAAAGATTGTGCAAACAGCTCTATTGCTGTTGCAAAAAAGTAGGGGGAGGGGGCATGCAGAGACCCTGCCAAAGAAGGTGACAAAACATGCCCAAATTTCGAAGAGCATTTTTTTGACATGCCCAAATTTCAATAAAACTTTAGGTGAAATGTTTGGCCTGTATCACAGTGGCTTATGACTGACATCCTTACGTCAGATGAGAAAATAAAACAAAACATATTAAGTCTCGTGTATCACATCTCGTCTCAATCAAGACGCCATTTAATTCCTGAGTTAATCTGTTTGTATCAGGATCGTGCATGGGGATTTCTCTGCTTGTGATGGGGATTTAACAATAATCCATGATAAGATATCAGCCCTTTGTGTAAGCCAAAGCCTTCTAGGGCATCGAGCAAGTAAATTCTTTTAGGCGGAAACATTCGTAGCAGGCAAAGAAGAGTAGTACTCCTCGAGATCTCCAATAACTGAATAGGACTAATTCAAAAATAATTAAAAAAAGAAACGATCGAAAAAACATCACTCCTCTCCACTCTGTTATAAGAGATTGCTAAAAAGGGATTTTATTCTCTCAAAAAGACTTTCATTTTCTTTTATTTTACATCTTATTGTGTTTTTCCGACATACTATTCTGGCTAGGACCGATATGAAACCAAACAATAAGAAATAATGGAGAAAACAAAACAGCAGGAAAATAAAACTCCTATCAAGTTGCTTTTTATTCTACAGTGGAACCAGAATCATCATCAAAAGAAACCTCCAAAAAACAGACAATTAATTTTGTACAGAAATATCTTTTCCATGAGGTGACATGTAGAAAAAAGCTCTCGAAAACTGATAAAAATCTAAAACAACTCTGAACAGTGTCCATGGCACGAAGGCTACACTGCACTATACTACTTCCGCCTATACTATTAAACATTATTCATCCATTTTTCAGATATTTTTTTGAAAGTCATTGAAGTGTTCCTTTAGAGTGGAAAAGCTATTTCTGGTCACATGGGGGTTTCAGAATATTAGTAAGCAATTTTTATAACATCTGAGTGCATTTTGTCAAAAAATGATTTTATTGATAAATAGCATCCACTTAAATAATCATAAATAGTGACACAGTAAACTCTGTTTAAAGCCACTCTACTTAATGACTTTTAAAGGAACATTTGGTGCAACTATGGGCCGTGTCTTCTGTAATGAGATTCGGGTATTGGTAAAAAATTCCAGAAACAAGAAGTAACAGATGATGATGGAATATCAACAAATTTTTTACTTTAATTCAGGCCTTTACAAACAGATAACGAGTAAAAGAAAGTAAAAAAATTGCTATTTGTTTTATAGACTTTTAAAAACACAGAGAAAGCTTGAAAAATATTACTTATCAATATACCTATGTTAACAAGTCTTAAGAAAAAGACAGTTGATAAATTAACATCTTTTATCACTTCATATGTGTATTTACTTTCACTTAAACATTTTCAACCAAGACACAACCACAATAGCCAAAACCTATCTCAAATTCCAGAGGAATAGATGACCTTGTAATTGGAGAAATTAGACAACTAGACTTGACAGGATAAAGATAAATTTGCAGAGTCATGCAAGATGGTGAAAAAAAATGACAGATGCAATTACTGCTACAAGAAAAGTCTAGAAATTAATAGACTTCACTAAAGGTAAAGATCTCAATCGATAGAAACCTACAGAAGAAACTTTTCAAGGTATCAAGAAAGAGAGAAGCAAAGCTTCAAAAAACAGTGAAAAACCAAGTGCTAATAGAAGAGTTTGTCTGAATACATTTGAACGGTTCTTTCATGATCTTAGCAAAATCAAACTTAAGGTTGAAATAGTTCCATAACTTGCTTCAAGTGCCCTTCTCCCATATTTTCCCATGTGATTTCAGAATAAATAATACCAATAATTAAACTACTACCTTTGAGAAAGCTTTTCTAAACTCTTCACCATCCTTGACCTTGTGGAGGTGAGAAACAGTACCCCATGATATTCTGATTCTGTCTGTAATATTTTCTATTGGTTGCACAACAGATTCCCAAGTTACAGGCTCTGATTTCCCAATCAAATCTAAAAGAAGAAATGCAATAACAGCGACTTAGAAGAAATCAGTGTTAAGGAAATAAGTGCACTGGGTACTGCATCTGATACGATATTGAGTATAGTGGCAGTCTGGAGCACAGGCTAAGTGTATTTTTTTTGGAAAAATTCACTAATCTTTAAGTTCTTATTCAAGTGAAAACTCCTAAATTTGTATTTTCTGCTAGATTTTGTCAGATCAAGAAAAATTTGTATTTATTCTAGAAAGTCTAAAAGAGGTTTAGTTATTGGTTACAAGTTGATTTTATCTATATCAAGTAAATTAGCTGAGCAGAGTTGCACAACCTCCCAGAGCTGTGAGCTCAAATTTATGCTAACTTCCTAATTTCATTAAAATCTTTGAATAGATAACTCTAGTAATAATTTCCTAGATCTTTTCTTCGTCCAATTTCGTAAGATTTGGGAATTTCCTCTGATCCCCAGCATGAAAATAGGTATTAGTTCCTTTAAAACATTCTATCACAGGAAGGATGATAAGCTGTATCATGACACATGACCTACCAGGTACAAATCTGCATCTTTCCGGGGTACAAGAGGAACAAACCATAGAAATGACATATGGAAATCCATAATCAAACTCTTAGCTAAAGCTAGTTATGCAAGCTTCCTGGTCAAAATTGGATCAAGTTGGGAATATTCTTTATCTACAGTGTAAATATCTATTTCCTGTTATTTAATAGCCTTAAACTTAGCAGTAGCTTCTTATTTCATGATACTCAAATTACATGTAACAAATTTCTGTTGAATGAAATATTTGAATTTGATTTATAGAAACAGTATAATTATGACACATTATTTCCGTTACAGTCATTTGGCTGAACAGTAAATCGAGTACAAAGCATGTGTGACAATACAGAATGATATCATTATTGTATATCAAATTTAGACAAAACAGAGCTTTCTCTTTTTTCCATTTTGGGTTGATATCATCGATTTTGCATCTCGCTATCTTCAGACCTTTCTCAAAAATGGATTTCATTTTGGAAATCTTCATATTGAAGTTAGTTTATACTGAAACTTCATGGTGTTTCAATGGTTCGGTTGCAAAGTACTTTTGTTTTGAATATATAGACATTTCTTTAGATTTGACCAGAATTTGCTGCTGCAGTGAAGAAATTTCACTGCAGCAACAAACTCCATTGAAAAATTGTTAGAAGGAAAAGCTACATTTTGAAAATGGGGTAATTAACTGCCTGACAGTTCAAACAAAATAAAATTATGAGCACAGACAAATGTCAACGTGAAGATTCCAATTGTATGATCCATTTTAGGCAGATGTGAAGATAAAAATTGACCGGAACAGAGAACATTTATTTGCAAACATGCTTGCTTGAAATAAAGCGGGCTGCATGATTCTTGATAAGTTACTGGAGCTTAAGAAAATAAAATGATAAAAACAAACGAAAAAATTGTTACAACGAAAATGAATTTGATCACTGGGGCACGAATCTGCCTGCATGTGACCAACAGCATTGAGAAATTCCACAAATATTTCAAATCAATTATTAATGGTTTAAAAAAGATGGCTTTGCAAAATAAAATAAAATTTAAAAAAAGATATAAATAAACCCTGGAACCTTACAAACCTTTAATCCTTGTCTCAAACTCTGTAAACTTTATGTCTGTCTCCTTTACAAGATGTGGTATTGCTTCCTCGACGTGCTGAGCGGAGACTTGAAAATTCAAACCTGTGTACTCCCCTAGCAGCGGGTTTTTAGAAACAACCGCTTCTTTTGACAAATCTCTTACACATCTTGGTAAACAATCTGCCAATCTGAAGAAGCCTAACTGTAGCAGAATCATTGAGAAATGCAGACAGCGAACAGACAGGCAACTCCTGAAAACCGAGCAATTCCCTTGAAAACCATGGCCTAGCATCTTTCCCAATCTCATTTTGATTTCACCCGCGTAATTTCAGCCTCCAGGCCAAAGTGAGACTGCAAAAAATGTTTTGGTCAGATGTTAAATTTTTGTAGTTTGACTGTTCAAAGTAGGGGACTCATAAAAAAGACTTAGAAAGTGGTCCTTGTTTGAAAATTTTAAATATAAATATATAAATGAGAAGACGAAAAAAACCAAGTTCAACAATGCTAGCACTATTTTTAAATATCTTTTCTGATTAGAAACTAAGCTTGGACTGTTACACATTTTTTATTAATTTTTTGTTCATTGGTATACTTAAAGTTTTGTTAAGATTTCTTGAATGCAAAATACACAAGAGCTACATTCAAGAAACGCAAAAAGGGGAAAGAGGTGCCTTATTATCGTAAATAATCATTTCCAACTAATGTTTAAAAAAAGGCTTTTCGAGTAGGTTGGTAGAGTTGAAGATTATTGGAAACATAGGTTTTTTAATTTTCTTTATCCTGCAGCTCGAAAATCTTTTATATTATCTTTTTTTATATTCACAAAAAATTTTTACAAAACATACACAAATTTACCAGACGATACCACAGGGAGCATGGGAATACATAGCAACCCTGTGGTAATTTACATTCAACACATAAAACTAAATTAACTACAGTTTAAGGATGCAAAATGAACGAAAAGAAGAAATATATAATTAACTACAATTTAAGGATGCAAAATGAACAAAAAGAAGAAATAGAAACTATTTCTAGAAAGAGGAGAGGAGAGAGGAAATATGTTGTTTGTATCATCAATTTATTCAAAACGTCTGCCTGGATATATTTTAGCGTTGCAGCGAGAATTTTCGAATTTGATTCGAGTATATATTATCTTACTATTGAAAAATGCATGCACTCTGAGAAATGTCATGAAATATAACTACGTCCTTGCCATTTTTGTTGTACGGAACTGGGAGGGAGTTTATACAAGGGGTATTTACAAATTTCTGATTGTAGAGGATATGCTTATTCTAGACAGGTAGTATGAAAGAAGGGTTAACAGTAAGGGCTAACTAGATATATCATTCTGTAATCAACCTTGAAATGAAGAACAGAAAATGTAACGAACGAGGTATGCCAGATATCGTTTTATTGTTTTAAAAATAAAATCATCAGGGGAACTACGACCCTCTTTACTGAAGAAACGAAATTACTTTAGATCTGGAGAAAAAGTTTCAAAGATAGGCTTCCTGTCGCAAGTACTGGATTAACCGTATCAAACAAAATTAATTAAGGGGATAACATTATATCCTTCATGTCAAGAATTTTATAACCGTGGCCTAACCTATCTTGAATTCTGATTGTGGAGACAGATACCTAACTAATTACTTAGGTCTTTCATGCTTGAGGATTTCTACTGCATCATATTTGCGCAAAATACAGAAAAAGACATAAAACATAACTCAATAACCCCCGGATGACACAGAAATTTGAAAATTAGAATCTTTCTGCTTCCATTCTTCAACTGTTCAAGAATGTTGTTGCTTATGTTCCTTAAAGGGGTCAAACCCAGCCAACATTCAGACAAAATTGCGTTTTAAATTTGGGTGGAGCATTTCAAGGCTGTAAAATAAACAATGCTATCTAAATAAGTCCTATGGCTGTTTACATGACAAAAGTTTATGTGACTGAAAAACAGAATTAAAAGCTTATTTCTGACCTCTGGTAGATGGAAATTCTCGAAAAATTGTAAAAACTTGACTGGTAAATCGTGTGATAATTATGAAAAATTTTCCCCTTTGAAACTCCGCCCGTGACGTCCCTTAAAATGAAATAGAAATTGGCGACTGCAGCTCTCATTCCTCATCTTACCCAGGCAGAATATGAGCAATACACAGAACTTAAACGATATGATGAGATTCGCTGCTTAATCTTCCACACAATATAGTTTAGACGAGTCATAAATTGAGCATAGGACGATTTTAAAAGTACATTCATTATTTTCAGACATTAAAAATTGTGATGTATTTAAATACTTGGACCATAAACTCACTAAAATTCAGCACGATTTACCAAATGCTGTTGTTCGAAGACGCCCTAGCACATTTGGGATGTCATGTCACCAATAGTATTTGCAGCTCGTCTTTGTAAATGATAGGCATTTGGCAACCCTTGGCGAAATCAAATACCGTAGTATTAAGATCTTTGTCAGTTGCTGTTAAAGTAACCCTCTATATTTGGAAAAAGTCAATAGTGCAAAATGATATAGATTTCAATGTTTTTCCGAGAGACTAAGTGTCAATTTGGCTTGAACACGCAAGGTCGAAGAGGAAAACTGGATTTAGATTGGTATTGAATAGGATGTTAATTCATTCCTGATAAACCTCTTTAACATACCTTCAAGTTACGTTCACTTCTACAAAGAGAACCTTGGTGGAATCAAATTCATCATTGAAAGGGGTCCGTACAAGCAGCGTAAGTGTAAAGCCCCGGTCAAACGATCCAACATTTCACCCAACATTTACTGAACATTTTTGTTCAGTGAAATGTTGGATCGTTTGACCACCATGTTCAGTCACTGAACATGTGTTCTTGTCACTTTCGGTCGCTCCTTAAAGAATGGACCGTAATAAAGTGATATTAAAGGACCTTGAAAAAATGAATGGACCAAACGACACCAGGAAAATTCAATCGTTCAGTCATCTTTGTTGACGTTCTGATTAAAGATTTGAAGTTTTTCACCATTATTGCAGTCATAAACTAACATAATTGAAGCTCTAAACTAAAGGTCAACAAAAAGAACACACTATTAAGGCTTTTTAGCAAAAAAGGAGGAGCCATAACTGCTACCTCGCAGGGGACACTTTGAGCCACTCGTCAGCTAGGCCAGATACTTTCCATAGGCTTGAATATGGATAATTTTTGCGCACATCAACTTGCACGGCTTGCAAAGCTTGGTAAAGCCTTTTTCGATTGAATTTACCTATCTAAAATAGAACTGAAGAACTTGTTTTTAAGTACAAATTATTATAAAAGGTGAAGCCATTGATAGTGTTGAAATCGTGGATCGCCAAACTACATATTTTGAGAAGAAAGGCAGTTGTTCCGCTATGCATGCCATTCCTCTTTCTTTTGCTCAGAAGAGCCATTTAAATGAATACTAGTTTACAATTTCTTCCATAAATGGGGAAAATAGCTTGTTTTATCTTATATTATGTGATAGTATGTGTAAGAGATTAAAAGCATTTCTCCTTTTCAATTCATTCAAAAACTTGTATTATCACTCACTCAGATTGCACACATGCAGCTATGAGAAAAAATCTCTTCCTGCCCCTGCTATCGCATATTTTCCGTAAACGATTGAGACCGCATTGCCTAAAGACTTGGATGATCTAAACTACTGAATTTGGACGTCACAAAAAGTTAAACGTTGCTAACTGTAAGCATGGGCGTAGCAGATGCATAACATTTAAGGGGGCGGAGTGTGGATCTTAGCCGAATATCATTGCTTTGTTGAGATAGAAATGCTTGAAATGCATCAAAAATATTGCCCGATTAGGGGGCTGCTGCCCTCCCAGCCCCCACGTTTCCTATGGCTATGACTGTCAGTAAGTCGGTACGGTTAACAGTATTCTCAGAAAGTGCCGATCTTTCCTTCGGACAATCAAGTTTGCAGAGTTTGGCCGATGTTTACAAGGTCTTGGATGCGCCAACGCCCGTACTTCATGTGCGGGTGTGCAAAATCATTCTGAAACACAAGGTGGCTTGCTTTATCATCGTTTACAGTATACAATGTAAAATATCTAGTTTTAAGTCAGCCACATAGCTGCAGGGGGGGGGGGCAAGGGAGCTGTGCACCTCCAAATGAAAGAGTTGACCACAACTTGCCCCCACTGGCTACAGTTACTCAAAATGATATTTTGGCAAAATTATAATTTTGTAAGATAATTGCTTTTGAACAGGACCCTACGTCTTTTACAAAGCAAGAAACTCTGTAATTGGCTCCTTAGATTAATACACTTTACTACTTCCTGTTAGCATGGTCACTTGAAAATAGCTATGGCAGAAACAGAGTTGTCGCGCTAGCCCAACCCTTGTTAGAGATTAAAAGTAGCCAATTTCTAATTTTCTTGTTTTTTGCGACACTTTTCAATAGCTATCAAGTTGTACTTGATAGCAGCAAAATTACAACTTGATAGCTATTGAAATATGAACAATTTTTTTTAAAATTGAAATATGAACAATATGAACAATGAAACAATTGTTCATATTTCAATAGCTATCAAGTTGTAATTTTGCTGCTATCAAGTATCTCCATGGAGACATCAAGGAGGTAAGTACAATCAAACCTGTGAAAGTCACCCGATTGAGACAAAGGGAATTTGGAAAGCGATTGCAAAGTTTTTAAGCATGAAATTCTCAGCCAGCGTAAGAGCGAGCAATCGGAAATGTGTGCTGGAGTTTTTGCTGGAAAATCATGAAGTAGCTTCTCGAACTATAGTGTACAGAATCCACAAAATTGCACTGGTTTGTAGTTATGTTTCAGCAAGGGCTGATTGTCTTTTCATCCATGACAGGTCGATGAACCAAGAAGGCGACGTAGCACACCTTTTTTCAGCGTGCATTGGCTCACATTTTCTTTGAAAAATCCTAACTCGTGAGATATCTTTCGAGAAATTTTCAGTTGAGTGGCTACAGAAACCTTAAAATATGTTTTAAAATTTTGAGCTTGATGTGTTCTGTTCTTAACTCGTAGCTCTGTGTAAGCCTGATATATTCCAAATAAACGCGCCATTCGCTGTTATGATTTTTTTTAAAGCCTACCCCCTCGAAGTGTGATTCTTGCTCGTGTTTGCCCACCCCAGCCGATATCCACAGCTAGGTGGCTGGCGTCCATAGAGCTACTTTGTCTGCATCCAGGGGTGTCACTTGTGGTGGTCCCCTTCCCCCAAACCACGATAACGGGACCTTCTCGCAGGGCAAGCTGTTTTTTGCAGGGAAAGTGTTTTCTAACGATGGATCTGCTTTATTGTTTCTCTTTTAAACTGTAACAAGTAAGTAGGTTATGCTTGGAGTTTGTCTGTGCCAGAAGAAAAATGATATAGACTACCAGTGACACGAAATAGTAATTGTCAACGTGAACTTGGGCTGGATGGAATATATTTCTAACAAGATTCTGATTTCCTTTCAATGCGGACTTGGTATTACGTCTTTGGTCGATATTTGTGTCATATTTTGAAAATCATAAAAAAGGACAAGCACCGCTTGCCAGAAAAATGGTGTAATCACAACCGGGCGTTGCCACGCTGCCTTGTACCTGGAGGGATCTGGAACCCAGTTTGTTGCTAAAGTTATGCGCCAAAATAAAAGCAGCGTGTGTCATAACAGAAGTATTACAGTACACTCTGTTATGGTCACATCAAATGCTGCTTGAAAACTTGTGACATTGACATAACCGAGTGTGACATTGACATTGTACTTGGGTCTAAATTTTACCGAATAGTTTTGCATATTTGGGTCTACATTTGATCTTACTGTAACCAGACCTGTGACTTTAAGCGGAGTGACTATAATTGGAGTCAACTCTATAATGTTTTGAATATCTATTTTATTTTTTGTGGATGATTTAGGGTGTATTTTATAAATTCATCGATAAATCTTTTCCAAAATATTTGACTACGCCCCATCGGCATTGACGAAGACATGTTGTTCTATTGTTGTCATGAAAAGTTCGGACAAAATATCTTCTACTGTTGGCAAAGTTCGGTACAAGCAGTCTTCCTATTGAGGCGCCTTGAGGAAGGTTGATAAAATTTACCATTACACTCATTTTTACAAGAACCAGAAAATTGAAGTTCAGGCTGGCTTAATATTTCCGAAAATCTGAAACTAAATTTGTTCTAATATTTTTAGGGTATAACAATGCAATGGCTAGCTATTGCGCTATGGGAAGTGTTCAAGCCTCATTCAGGCCCGTCGGAACCGGGGGGCTGGGGGGGGGCTGGGGTATAATTGCCAAACTATATGTATAGTATGTTTCCTTTATAACAGTGTACTGAATGAGAAGGAAAACAATGGGCAGCCCCCCCAATATGAATTACGTTCCGACGGCACTGTCATTTGCCAACAAAATGAGTAAGACATCTTATATTTTGCGACAAGTTTGAAAGTTCACCGAGAAAACATCCCTAGATCCTCGTTTTAGAGATGAAACATTGTTCAAAGTTACATCTTACAGAAGTTCAGCCTCAGCTAGTTTTCAATTTGTTTTTAACTTTTACCAATTTAGACACTTGTGTTCTTATAAAACTGTTTTTATTAAATAGAGAGTGTAAAGGCAATTTGAGAATAAACATCACTATCTGTTGTACTTTCTATGCAGTGGGGTAGTTTCCCCATAATGATTTCGAAGGCATTGAGGGAAGCTTCGATACTCCCATCTTGAGAAATGTGTTGGTGTTTTTACATCTAGTGTAGCAAAATCAGCGGGATGCTATGCTAGCAGGAGGGGAGGGTTGCCTCACCCACTACAAAACTTTTTCTTGCTCGTTTCACCAAGGACAGGTTAGGCAACCACATCAATGAATTTGTTCACACAATAAGCAAGGGCCTAAGTGGGTACGACCGAGTGCCAGTTCCCCACATTGTCAACTTTTGCTAGGGGAAAGTTTTTTGTCCTGTTGTTCTTGGAGGAGGGGGGAGGGGGGGGGGTGTTGTTGCAGGGCGAATCTGAAGTCAAGTGCCAAGTCACCTAAAATAAGTACATCGTGTGCTAAATTAACAAAAAATGTGGATAATCCCTAGTGCGCAAAAACGGCCTGTTCTTGCGCACTTGGATTGAACGACGTCTATAAAGAGGGAGCGGGCAGGCAAAGTTTAGGCATCGGTGACGAACGATGCTTAGACTATCCTTTTTCCGCTTCTTCCTTTAAAATGAATGAAAAATAGATGCTCGTTTGTAAGCACTGTTTTTTCTACAAACAGATATTTTGTGGAAACGGCGGCAATCTTAGTACGTGTTATAAATGACAGATTGAAAGTGGCAAAATTGAACACGCGAGAGTACAGTGCAATTTAATTTGATATAGATACAAATCGTAATGGCCTGGCAAAACGACTAAATATTTCACTCGACATTTGCCTAGTGAAGTTGAGCGAAGTTTAGCGAGGGTCGCAAAACGTGACTAAACCTTTCACTAAACTTTGCTCAAAATTTTTGAACGACCTATGTAGGACGCTGTGGGGTTGTAGGGGATCTTGCATAGGAATTTGCTTTCTGTTTGTTTTGTTGTATGTTAGCATAAAAGAATTCAAGTGCAGGAAGATGGTAAAAATAAGAATTTGATAAAAGAAAGGGAAAAGAAAATTCTTTTTAGGACATCGATAACAAAGTTGACTGTTGAAGAAGACACAGTAGCGTACAAGGAGGTGACGCAAATGTCTAGCGAAGGCATTCTAGAGATTTTGGGTCACGTAGAGACAGGAAAACGAAAAACCTGGAAAACCTTTGAATTGCACGTTATGGCGCCTGCCGTAAGCGCTAGCACAGTCAAATGTTTAATTGCTGGGCAACGACTAACATTGGCTAACAACACTAAACACGCTAAACTTGTTTGCCAGAATCAAAACTTTGCTCAACAATTCAACACGATAAAAAACACAAAAAACAAGACAAACACACAACACAGAACGAATAACTGCTTTCCACTAACTTTTCACTAAACAAAGTTTATGTTGTGAAATGTTGGTTGAATGAAATGTTTAGTCGTTTTGCCAGGGCTTAAGATTGTCAACAGGCTGTAAGTTCCTCGGTTCTCGAAGTTCGAATAACTGCCAATTACGAATAGAATCGCATAGGCGAAATGCGACACGCAAATGCATATACTGTGATACTGTGAAATTGTATTTCTTGTTTCTTGTATCGAGCCTGATGGATGCTAAGTTAATTAATTTCGTATTTAAGTTGGGAAGTGACTTTATAAGAATATTCCTTACCTGAGATAGTTTTGAGGTTGCTTGACAATACTGCTCGGACTGCTTTAGGCTGAATAAGGGCAATTCCAATGTAGAAAAGGACTCGTTCACTCGGGCCCCAGTTTACTTGCCCGACTAAGCTAAGTGGTCTAATGTTTACATAGGCAGCAGAGGAAGCACCAAGGATATATGGCTCAATCACATGTGGGTACCAGTTGATTGGCATGTTGACGTTTAACTGTGTTCTTCTAAAGTTGGGTGATGTTGTGACCTTATCAACGGCTTCTCGTTTGAATCGCGTGATTCACATTGCGATTGTGCAATCAATTACACTCGTTTGTTATATAAAAAACTTGTTAAAAGAAAATTAGTTTTTGAGAATCAAAATTGTTATCAATAATTGTCAACCGAGCATAAAAGAAGAGCGCGGGGGCTAGGGATATGAGAGATCTCTTTACTACACTGCGATATGAGATATAATTGATGTAACAAAAATTCTGTGAAAATACTCGTTTACTACACTACTGTACCAGTTCACAAGAACAATATTATTTTGCAATAAACACAGTTTGTTTGCGATCATCACTTATGCCATTCTTAGTAAAAGGATGTGAGGCTTGAAAAAGGAGAACATTTGACTGGGGGGGGGGGGTTAATAATATCAAAGTTCAATTAGAAATAGCAGCGTAGTAAGTGGAAAGCGAGAGGGGCAGGACAGCCCCCCCCCCCCCCAATGAAAAAGTATCTTTGAAAAAGGACATTTTCTGGCCTTCCAAATGGTGTGGACCAATCGCTCAACTCGCCTTTGCCTCCCCCCCCCCCAATCTTAGAACCCACATATAAGAACTACTGCATATTACAACAAATTAGTATAAACTCTTGTTTAACCGAACGCCTCTCGTTGTGTTTTTATCTTGATTCATCATTGAAACAGTTGGCACCTTCGAAATCTAAAAAAACGAATCAATTGGCTCACTGTTTCAACTATAGGGTAAGTACTAATAGAAGGGGCATTAAAGATTCCTCTGATAGCTACTTATCAAGTCAACAGAAATGAAATTTCTTTCTCTGTCAAGATTTCAGTAGCAGGTAAAGATTTTAGAGGGTAACTTTGGCCCAGACCCTGCGGCACTGCACTACACCCCTGGCTTGGCCCTTAGGACAACAAAACATAAATTGGGCAAACGAGTTTGTGTCACTAATCAGTGGTTTTAGTAGGTTAGGTAAGGGCACCTTTCCGCCTGATTAAAGGGAAGGGCGCCAGGCTGAGTAATAGGTATATGACAGCTGGTGTGAGCTATTTTTAGGTGTACATTTCTATTAAAAAATAGTAATTACGGGTTTATATTTTTACTAAAGGTTTAGGCAACGTAACTATTGTTGTACATTTTTACCAAAATGAAATAATTTGTTTGGTAATTACAAAAGAATGAATGTTCAAAATACATAACTATGAGGAATCTAAAACCTGCAATTAACATAATAGACAACAGGCTAAACCATACAAATCCTTATATAATGTGCAGAAAAGACCGTCATAGAAGAACCTATTTCTTATCTAAACATTTATGGGTCATATATCTCCTAGGCCAAACATTATAACTCCTTTTCTCCATAATTACACATCTGGGGATGTGCCATCATGGAGAAGAGGAGTCATAATTGCAACAAAAGATACCCCTTAACAATCCAAGCAGTTTTCATCTCACGATAGAGGCCCTCTACTAGCTCTTGTGCTTCGCAGCAGCCTCTCTACTGTAACCTCGCTTTGATTTAATCGTTCAATCAAGCAGTCGTTGACTTTGCTCCCGTTGCTGCTGGTATCAAATGGAATAAAATCATTGAGATTGTGCATACCGTTGAAAATGCATGCCTTCATTGCACTTCTAGCATAGTTTAGCCTTGCAACCACTGTCCAGCTTTCTGATACAAGATCATATCTTTGAGAAAAAGAGGAAAACGTTATGTTACTGGCACTGAAATTACTACTTCAGAGGAAGGCAATTGATAGCCTTCTACTTGAACCACTAGTATACTTTCAATGTGTCGAATCCTTTACATAGCATTGCAATCACTTTCTGAAAAGTTAATAGGAAGGTCGCCTTTCCAATTAACTGAGAGACTGAAGCAGATTTGGGAAGCTAAACTCGATAAGGATGTTTACCGAAGTTAAAGGATAAGGTTTGCGACTAGCGGTAAAATTACACTTAAAAGTCAATATCATTTTCGTTACGATCGGTAATACCAACATGTTAGAGCTACTAAACCCTGCTTTTATACGGATATTTCTTATCAACTGCCAAGAACTAAACGAACGCGAGGTTGTTGAATGTGAGATAGGATTAACAAACATAAAGATACTTATCATTACCGTTCAACGTCTTGAAGTGTAGTTTGTCCAGTGTAGCCACCAATCGCATAAACATAGCTACCAGCGATGCAAGTGGCAAAGTTACTACGAGCTGTGTGCATTGGTGGCCCGTCGGTCCATGTATCTGACTTGATATGATAAAACTCCGTGGTGTTCTTTCTTGAAATCCCGTCGTAACCACCCATCATAAAAATACGCCCGTCAGGTAATGAAACGACACTGGCGCCACTCCTTTTGCTGTTCATCGGCGTGGCATATCGCCATACCTCACCGTCGTAGTACTCAACCGACTGCAAGCTGTCACCACTGTACCCACCAAAAACGTATATATGATTGTCACATGTGACGGCGGCACTGTCACTCCTGGCAGTGCCAAGAGAAGCCACTCTTGTCCACTGGTTTAAACTAACAGAGTACCTTTCCACGCAAGACAGTCGCTTCATCCCATCAAATCCACCGATAGCATATAACTCATTGTTCAATGCAACCAGGTTGTTGAAGCAGCGTTTGGTGTGCATTGGCGCAATTTCCGACCAATCTTTTGTGCATGGCTTGAAACATCTAACAGTGTTGAGATAGGCGCTCCCGTCGTAACCACCTATACAAGACAAAGAGTTGGTAACAAATTACGTCATAGAGATATTCGCGCCAAAAGGTGAACGCTTCAATAAAGAAAGATGTACATTTCTATGTTAGAAAAAAACAAATTTTGGCCAAGTATTGGCTGATTCCAATATCTTCCTGGACTGCTATTCAATTGGATACACTGAATTCTAATAAGAGATATGGGCTAAAACAACTATTCTCCCTGTTACCAGCACTCCTTGATAAGAGGCCAAGGTAAAGATAAATGTTAAAAACAAATAAAAAAACACAAACAAACCAGCAAAGTAAGCAAGTTTTCCCAATTGAGCCGATCCGTAATAGCATTTAGCGCCATCGGGATCCTTGAGGTTATGTGCCATTGTCCAGCGATCGCTTTTTGGGTTGTAACATTCTGTTATGGCGAGACAGCGCCCGTTACTCCATCCACCTGGAATATAGATTATATAAGATGGGACACGAGATTCACGACAATAACAAGGCATGTCCTTAGGCACCCAGAAGAATGCATGCGTCTCATTGTGTTTGTGGAATCTGCAACACCGTTGATATATGTCAGAGATTGTAGTATTCCATTGGCTGTCTGTCACTCTATTGTTGTGTAGAACTTTATTTTCCAAGAAATCTAAGTCCATTAAAGGGAATCTTATAAACGTGAATATATCAGCTAGTTCTTTATTGCGTTTATCTGGATCGTTGTCTGCCCAGCAAATAACTGCATTGTATATGTCTTCTTCCTTCTCAGCGTTCATTTCACTGTGTGCAATGGCTTCACATAGTTCGTCTTTGCTTATATCCAAGAATTCTTGGGTTTTTGTGAGATCAGTAAAGTTCTGCAAAATGAAATCTAGAGCAGACTTTTCAAGACATTCATCATTATAACATCGCGCCATTCTCAATATGCTAAGGCATGTCGACGTGTCTTGATTTTCCAGCAAATACATCCTGCATTGACTCTTAAGACCTTTCATTGCTAAGCGGTCAGCCAGGCAGTACAAATCACAAGCATTTGAAGGGCTTACCCGAGCATCGCCAGTGTATATAAAATCCAGAATGATATCCATTAATATGCTACTAATGTCACCTAGGTCTATAACCCCTGATTGTGTTTCTTTAAAATCACTTTCAAACATCGTCCTAAAGTAATCGCTTCCTGCAGCTAGTATCACACGATGTGCATGATGCTCTCTGTCCTGTGACAGAATCTTTACGTCACACAACACTTTATCCCTGCGAAACTGCTCTAGAGCAGTCTTAAGGATGTCCATCTTGGCTTGGTTGAATGCAATCATGATGTCTTGCGCAGAACCGTCGAATGATTCTTAACGAATCAAGAGAACACCTTCGGCATTCTAAAGTCATCAATGGAACTCGGAACTTGATAGTAGGGGCACGGTTTGTGTCGATAACCATTGACAACTCATCAATGAATAAAATTTATAACAAGCTAACTTTTTTTCAGAATTAAATAGAATAAACTTCAAATAGACATATGAGATAAAGAATGAGAATAAGCTCTTTCAAGGAACCTATGTCTTCAAAAATATTCAATGAAAATTTGAGCCTACTTTTCAAAAGAGATCGAAAGGTATAAAGCAAGAGATATACCCAATCACAATGAAATTTACTATTCTGTATCTATGAAACGTGCAATGGAACCTTTATAATCTACCCATATGAATAAGGATATTTTTTCTGAAGGATGCTGACGGAGACATTGATCTTTAAAAAGGGTTTATAACACTTTATAGCTTTTCTATTCCAACGTTATCATTCTTGCATTGAATCTACAACCCCGGACAAAAATGTTGAGACAAAATACAATTTTTGTAATTTTCTACTTTACCTTGCCCCTGTAAAATCGAATCACCCCCTTTTCCCCCGAAGCAATGTTGGATTTGTAGTTCTATCATTTCTCCTTCAAAATCATGCATTCAACATTGAATTGGAGGAGAGGGGGAGTTATTTTTTAATGAAAAGTGAAAATATAAGCTTTTCTTGAAAAGTCTCAACCATTTTTTTTCCGGGAATGTAGGTAGCTCTGTTTACTACAGCTGGAAGGTCTTCTGCATATTATTAATATGATATGTAAAAACGACTGCAACTCGCATTACACTTGTATCTTGTCAACGCTAAGATAGAATTGCAATGAGAATATAATTTTTGTTCTAGATAAAAATGCGAATCGAAACAATTTACTTAGTTTAGGCATGTCTACAAAATTTGCTAAGGTCGTGTGAGTTTGCCGTTTTTAGGCCACACAACTCTTTTGCACATGTTGTCGTTAGATACAGGAAAACTTAAAGAATTCACTGCCTTTATGGTTATTTGCAGAAAAGGGTTTTCTTTTGTGCCGAATTTTAAGAATCCAAAGTTAAGAATCCAACTTTTAACCATATCTTTGGGTTACATAGGCTTAGATTATTTAAAAAGGACTGCTTATATCTGAACAAGTTTCCTTTGCAAAAGCAAATTCAATGCAACGCATCAAAGGTGTCCAAATACTTTTTGAACGGAAGTTTACTTCATGCTTATACCGATTCTACCTCAATATATGAGTTTTACGTTTGTCATAATGGCATGAAGGTCATTCTAGTTGCCTATAAACAGAACTGAGCATGAAACTAGGTAACGCAGGTAAGAGCTGTCCACCACAAAATACTACAATGTCGTTTAAAAATAATCATTAAGTCGGATGCTTCTGTAGTTTGGAGAGCTCCGCAATCGCTATTTGATTACCTCTAGAAGTAAGGTATACAAACGTTTTATTCAAGGACTGAGTTCAAAAGATTTCTTGCTGAGAAATGTGTAAAAGATGCCTGAGAAGGATGGCTATGGTGCAAGGGCAAAACCATTGTCACTATTGTGTTTGTTGTGATGCTATGATTATAAATTCTCAATCTTGGATTATCGCTTAGTTTCTGCCATATAGTTAGAAACAGCAAAAGTACTCAAAAAAAATCTTCATAGGTTATAAAAAATTTTGCACATAAATATTCTTCAACCTTAAAACAATAAAACTGATTATGAAATATACTTGTATCATTTTGCTAATTGCTCAACAGGGATTGTCTCTTCCGCTTGACTACTGGAGGATTTTTCTTGCGCCTGGGGTTCAACTTTACGTTTCCGTTCCTCTTGGTTCGATTTGAAGCGGAAACAGTGAGCTACAAAAATAATTGTGTGACTAACAAAAAGCTTGGCACATATTCTGAAATAGACTCAATGATCTTAAAGGAAACATAAACGAGCTTCTACAGAAAAATGATTAATTTTCACCTTCAGATCATATTGAAATATTTTTTTCAGCAATTCTAAAAAGAAACAATCTAAAAGCGTTTTAGGAAACAATGTTTCTTTCTTAAAACATCACTTAAACAATGATTAACTTTTTGATTCCAAAATTACTCCCGTCTGCCCTCCAGTACAAACACATTAGATCATATATTATTTTGCTTTATCTAAATCCTAGGCAACGATAAAAGCAATAGCCTACGCCGTAGACCCTCCCTTCCAAACAAAGATAGGGTCTACGAATAAATGATGCAAAGCTTGCTACAGGCCGTTGTTAATTTATGCGCAAATATTTTTAATAATTGATCATTCCCAGACCCCATTGGGGCTTTCTTTGTCAAGCTCAATGAGGTGGGTAATGAACCATAATCAATTGAAAGGCCTACTTTCTATTGACCGATGCATCTTGTGTTTTGAAACGCAACTTGCAAAGATATACAGGCAATACTAAATGCCTCCGCGAATATCGTTTCATCAAACTCCGCCACAGCTGATCGTACCGTCATATTGATTTGTTTTGCATGTCCTTAATTATGTCAGTATTAATGCTCTCGCATAAATTAAGTTCCAGAATTTGAGAACGGCCTGTAGCAAGCTTTGCCTCATTAATTCGCAGACCCTATCTTCGTTTGGAAGAGGGGGTCTACGACGTAGGCTATAAAAGCAACCGCTTAACAAAAGTACCTGGACAGTCCAGTATTTCTGTGCTTGTTTTAGTTTTACAACATTTTCGACAAGACGAATGAAGGCATTTAAGTCCCTGGAAAGTAGAATCATTAAGATTATAGTGATTTCGAAAGGCAACTTTGAGTATATCAAAACAAAAGTTGTCTTCTTAAAGACCCAGCAAGCATTGGTAGGTGATATATAAAAGGCAGATAAAGCAAAATCCATTAAAACCTAGTATTTTACCAGCCTTAAGAATAGCATCTCTAGACATACAAATGAATAGATCCCTAAGTTTTTCAGTCTAATAAAATGCTGGTGAAAAATATACTGGTAAATCCAGTGCAAAAAGTTTATACGGGGAAAAATCTCAAATCATGAAAAGTATCAACACACCACCATTTTTTATAAATGCAACTTGTAGCGATGATTCGAAATTGGCTTATTAGAATATATGAATATAGGCAAATTTAAACGTACCCTTGGGTTTCCTTTACACACTATGCAAAATATGTATTTTGCTGTAAAAAGAAAAGCATGAAAAGTGAGTATTTTATAATACAAAATAATAGCATTTATACAGTAAAAGCACTATACAGCACGCTATAAAAGTGCTAAACAGCGAATTACAAAAATTCTAATCTGCACATTGCGAAAATTGCTATACTGCACAATACCAAAATAGTTCAGGGCATATTACGAAAATGCTATAGGGCACAACATTAATTCATCATTTTCTGGTGCAGTCGAAAGCAAATTTGTATAAGAAAACCTTTAAAATATTCCAAGAAAAGACTTGTTTTTTTACACACAAAAAACGGCTGTAAAGCCTTGGCCAAACGAATGTAGCATAACCACAAATATCTTCTAACATTGTTGGATAAAAGATGTTTTATTCGTATGACCAACACATTCTACGATGTTTTACGATATTGTATAATGTTATACGAAATTTCATTTCCATCAAACGTTTCGAAAAACAACTTTTTTCTCATGTTTGAACAACAATAATGCGTTCGTTTGGCCACCCCTTAAAGTATTTGCTTCACTCGTGCAAACGCGTAGATCAAAATTTTATAAATAAAGAGTAGTAACCGTAGGAAACTGTGCGGCAGCGCTTGATCATCGCAGATGTTTCAACATCTGTTTGATTCGTTTGGCCAGGTCATAAAAAATTGACTAGCAATGTTGGTACATTGATGTTGGGTAATGTTTTATGGATGTTTGATTCTTTTGGTCAAGCCTTAATACTTTTCCATTACAAACAGGAGGCAATTGAAAAACACTCAAACCACATTATAGGTTGAAGCAAAAGGTTAACAAAAAAAATGAAAAAGTCGGTATGACGTCATTACCTGTGGTTTTCGTTTTGATTCTTTTGAGCTGTCGTTCTTGCCTTTTGACTGCTTTAAATGACGGTATTCTTTTAATTTTATTTTCCCTATTTTCATTTTTATGCGAATTTTCTGCATCAATTTGAGATTTTTTGTTGTTTTCTTGAGGCTTTGGGCTAAACAAAATTAAGATATTAAATTTCACTCTAGATATTCAAGTCTATTTTATAGGAAAATATATAACAGCTAATTGATAATTAATAATGAAAAAATAAAGTATGTTGTCCATGGGCAATGATACACCGTAATATGGCAAATCATCCTTTACTTATTTTTAAATAGTCTATCGCGTAGTGGCCTTTTTAAATTTCTATCCAACCTGCCATCCTTTAGGAGTGACCAACACAGTTTTTTTATATCAATCTAAAAACAAAATGTTTACAAACCAGCTAAATTTACTTTGCTCTTTAGTGAGAAAAGACTCAAGGTCATCGTGTTCCCAATAAAGGGACACTTACAACAAACTAATCATTGGTATATGTACAAGAAACAAAACAAGACAAAACAAACCAAAAGGTATAGGGGGGGAGGGGGGCAGTTACAACATTTGTTTAATAAGTATCTAAACCGTTTAGTTGCCTTAATGCATGACATAGTGGCAGCCATAACAAGGCGGTTGGTGATTACATTCAAAGTTGCGCTACCATATATAGACGAAAATTACAAAAGAGCTCAAAAGAGCCATGGCATTGAGCATATAAGTATATGACGCAGAAAAGTGGCGCTAAGGAACAAAGGAAGGAGGGGGGGGGGTAGAGTTTTTAATGAGATTTTTCTTTGGATAACGGTTCTCAACATGCATCGTCTATGACGCAAGCTAATAATAATTAAACTTACAAAAGACGGGTCGTACCAGAATTAATGGTAGCTGTATGTGAGCCATGTTGTCCAATATAGAAGCAAAATTACTGTATACATTAGATACAAATCTATTTCTTTGGAAAATACAAAGGGCAATGCGCTTTTATGCTTTTCTGTAATGAAATGCACTGCTGTTTGACTATTTACTTCAAACTTTGAGATAAAATCAGAGCTGGGAAACTAATTCTTATACTAACGGTGGTCTGACGTAAGGCTGGCACCTCCAGTAAGGAATCTTTCCTGGTTCAGTACTGTCTCTTCCTTCTTGGATGTCAGTCTCTGCATCTTTCTAAGAACAGAACAAAACCGAATAAGAGGCTATTGCTACAACAACTATAGCAAAATTAATAATATAAAATTAATGTAGATTTTATGAGATCTTAGTAAAATGACACATGAAGAAGCTTTGAAAATGGGACGATCCAGACAGATGGAGTGGGATAGACGTTTTGTTATTGGAGGACTGTAATATGGTAAATTCAGGAAAGTAAAAAGGGATTAATTGGGATAAAAGAGATTTACCAGGAGATTGGCAAATGATGTAATAAACTATGTAATTACATTTAAAAATAGTATTATGGATTTGGGTTTTCAGTAAGGTTATAATTCCGTTTTTTATTCAAATAGTCCGGTTAAAGTCTAAAATCATCTATGTCAAAAATAAATTTAGGTACAAATGTTGTGTTAAATTTTGGTCATTGCAACCTATCCACATAAGTTGAATATTTGGATCAAGTTCTAGCTTCCTTGGTAAAAATATTCATAACATACTAGCATCAAAAATACTTTCTATTTGTGGAAAAAAAGACGAGAATAAGTTGGCCTAAGCTTAAAGGCCTTTTCTTATCCCGACTGATTCGACAAATATAAAATTGCTCCCTGTAAATATATTGATTTAATGAATTGACGTTTTAGAAAATGAAAACACTAATAGTTCTCTCCCTTTGATTTTCCTATTTCACTAACTGCATTGACGAATTTCGCTTTTGAAGCTTCTTGGCAATAGCATGAAAATACTCGACAAAATAATGTTCAGCTTACGCGTCTATTAGAAGCCTGCTAAACTCTTTTTAAGATGATGTCACATTAAACGAAGATCAAAAATTGAGCAAGAGAAAATACTGACTGAGCAAAGTTTTTTCAAATCCTGTCCAATCTTCTTCATTTCTTCAAATGACTTCACTATTCCAAGTTTGTATCTATAATCCGGAAATTTTGCTAATCTGCAAAATAAGCAATAGATTATGAAAACACAAAATTATGCCTGCCTGAAATGAAATGTTAGCTAGTGAAGGGGGCTCATTATATGAGAGGGGGTGCAAAGTTGCAATCAATCACCCCCAAACAGATTTATATTATTCTGATCGCAAAAACTCTCGTGATATGTGGTTTGAGACAGTCAATTGTAGTTCTCACTTCAAGTAATGCCCCTAGGGTTGCTCTTACGGGTAAAGTTCCCTGTATTATTCCATATGAGTTTTTGCTAGCAGTGTAGCCTGTAGTAAAAATGTTAACTTTTTTGTGGAATGTATATATCAAAAAATGTATTTGTGGAATTTATATATATATCTTCTGAACAGCTTTTTGTGACTTCTTCCTTTGTGTGTTAGATAGAGGTCCTTTATGCAGTGAGCCATCCCTCCTGCCTGATAATTCTCGGACAGAAAGAAGCAAATTGTGAACTTGACTTCATAAATATCCGTAAGGGGAATATTTTAAATGAACTTTGGAGGCTCTTCCTAGGAATCCCGTTAATATGAAAACAATTCGTTAAATTGATAGTTTTAATCATATCCAAGAAAACTTACACATGAAACCATATACGAAACAGGTGGCCTCTGATGTAAGAAAGATGTGGACAGCGGGTATGGTATGTGAAGGTAGCAGGAGGTGAATACTTCTCAGCAAACTCCATGTATTCTTCCGATATTTCCCACACAGGAGGATTTAAGTTTCTGAAAATTGCTGGGTTTGTCAAACTGCCTTCTATGAAGAATAAAGATGGGAATCAGTCATTTCTCAGAAAGTCTACATAACAATTTCATCTTTGAAACAACACGTATGTCAACAATTATCCAGAAGCACTGCATTACATTGAAAGAGAATTCATTTGCACATAATATATGGTAAAATCTTTTAATAATAAAGGTATTGACAGAATTACGAATCGTGTTAAAGCGTTGATCTATTCCATAATCTTTTAAAGATCTTAAAAGAATTGACAACACGGCCCAACACAACACAACACAACACAACACAACACGGCCCAACACAACACAACACAACAACACAACACAACACAACACAGCAAATCAGACAGGTCTATAGCTATTAGAGTCAGACAGGTCTATAGCTATTAGAGACGACTGTTCCACAAGGTTCTGTCACAACTCCTGTTTTATTCATCCGTTTAAAAAATGATCAGCTAACCTCCACCGCTACAAGCATTCATTCTTTTGCTGGCGACACCTATCTGAGCTCTTCATTTTCCTTTGATCTCTACTATCAACACCTCTCTTCAAAGAAACATCTCAACCTCACTTTTCACTGATGACCTTGCAAAAATCGAGAAGTGGCGTAAAGACAATCTTGTAAAGTTTAATCAAACAAAAACCATACAGATTGTTATTTCACGCAAACACAACCCTGACTTTCCTCCTGTCTCCATGAATGTTACTGATTTAGACATTTCTGCCTGTTTCTCACAACTCGGCCTTTCTGTATCTTCTAAACTTGATTGGAAATCTCACATTTTTTTCTATCGCTAAACACTCCTCTCAAAAACTTACGTTCCTTTCTAGAACACGTGGATTCTTCTCATCATCACAACTCTTAACAATTTATGTAAGTCTCAAATCCATCCTTCCCTGGAGTACTTATCCAATATTTGGGGTGGTTGTCCTAAATCTTCCTTGCACCCCCTTGTCAAAGTTCAATCTAAAGCCGTTCGTATCATCAGCAACTGCAACCTCACCAAGTTTCTTAAGCCTTTTTTCCATCAGCGCTATGTCGCTGATCTGGCCATTTTTATAGATTTTCAACGGCCATTGCTCTCAGGAGATCATAGATATGATGCCAGGCCCCCTGAGACATTTACGTAATACCAGATACTCTTCTAGTGCTCACCCATTTCAAGTCTTTTTGCCTAACGCACGAAATCAATCCCACAACCCTTCCTTCCTCCATAGATCTTGTAAACTTTGGAATGCCCCTTTCCTAATTCCCAGACTCTTACCTGTCTTTATTCAATACAAATAGGGCCTAGCTATAGGCGCACGAACCTTTTCCTATTATCACCAACCTGAAAAAAACTCTTGACCAAAGCTTGCAATGCTTTTGAAATATTTCAGTCACTGACAAAAATATTTCAGCTTTTGAAATATTCCAGTCAGGGACATTAAGCAACCCTCTACTTTTGAAAGCTTTTCTGTTTATTGCAATATAATCTATATTTATTTTGTTCTTCTACAGTGCCAATTCTTTACAAAGTAAATACAAATAATGCTAAGACTATATTTCTCTAAATTCCTATTGACCGATCAGTTAGGCTACACAATCCAATTCATGAAGCTGGTGAGTCAACAGGATAATTCGTTTTTACATTTAGGCAACTAACCACAAGTACGGTTTACCAGTATTTGAAAATATTAGAAAATACCAATTTACCAGTTTAAAATTCCAATACCTTCCTGCCTCTGTTTTTGTTTTAAATGTTAATTTAAATGTCGGTTATCTAATGTTTTTTTTATTGTCAACATTCCATACGATATTTTGATATTAATTAGGCTATTTAAAGTCGTTATCTAATACTAGTCATTCTATTCAATATCAATATGCAAAATACTGTAGTTTGTGTTGTTTAGACAACCCTGCTTTTCAGAAAACTATAATTTAAAGAGTCATTGCTAACAATGAGCCATTGCGCTACGCAACCATCTCATAATGCATTTTTAGACAGTCTAAAATCAATTTTGGTTAATCCGTAGAAGTTTACCACCATTGTTTGGATCTTCGCCACGCTCGCAAAGGCCCATTGTTAGCAATGAGTCTTTAAAGTTAAGGTACACGTCGTATTTTGTAGAGGATAAGAGGTCACCGTTAGCCTGCTGCAAAATTGCTTTATCTGGCTGTAAGAATGAAATGCTGCAAGGTAACAGCATCGAAAGAGACGTATGTGAATTATTACAATTATAAACAAATTAAACGTACCAGCAGACATAACACCATCAACTCCAGTATAATCGATGCACTTTTGTACGTCACTGCCATACTGTATGTTACCATTGGCGAATACAGGGACTGACACATTCTCTCTGCAATATCACAAAATATGCTTTTAAGTCACTGCAGTAAAGGCAATGTAAATTGGCTCTCATAACACAAATACAGAAAATCTCTGCAAAATAGACCCCTAAAATTCAGAGCCCACAAAAATTCTTTGATTCCTAAACTTATTTTTCAAATTTTATTTTAGCCTGAAAATAAAAAATCCCTACTCTAAAAGGTATCTTACCCATACATATTTATTGTCACGAGACACCCCTTCTTCAAAGCATTATAGATCGAGCTTATCAACAAAATATACCTTTCACAAATGAGCTCAAATTATAAAAATATGTCCTGTATAACAGAATTTATAAATATCCATGAACCAAAGCATGCATCTAATACTGTCGCGTTAACGACGAAGTTTTGTGCACTGTTGTTGCAAGTGCAAAAAATAAGTATCTTTTATTATGAATACGTCTTCTGTGCTAACTGTTCTTTTCTCTGCCAAAGATACCGCGAACACACCCAAAATCTTGCATTTCCCCATTCATTTTTTATTTTCTTTGCTTCTTTTAACTGGTTCCGCACTTGACTGTTTGTCTTCATTTTAAGCTCAATAGAGAACCAAAGCGAAACATCATCCTTTCTTACGCAAGAGCAAATCCAGCTCAATTTCACTCATAAAATTAATTACCTAATCATTCTTAAAAAAACTCTAACCCACTCCTCCTTATCCTTTGCTAATAAATGCCATTGTGGGACATAAGGAGTGCTTTCAAAAACAGAAAAATACTAAAGATTTAATGGACAAAAACCTTCATGCAATGAAATTTACATAAAATCGTGAATTTGTAAATATGCAACCTTACTTTACTGCCTTGATATGATCCCAACTTGCCAATCCGGTAAGCGGCCCTTTTTGGTCTCTCGTTCTACCATGTACGGTTATTATCTGGCAATCAAAAGGAAACGAACCAGTTGTCTTTAATACTTACTGACATATTAGATATTGAGGTAATATTAACCTGTGGGGCGTACTTTTAACTGAAAAAACCTTTAAGGTTTCAAAGGCCGATAGGCCCAGTTAAAGTGTTCCGTTAAAACTGTTCCTTCTTGCCTGTTAAATGGTTGCTTCTTAACTGTAAAATTGTTGCAAAGTGGAAACACAATGCACAACAAAATCATAGCTTTGTGGAAAGCTGTTGGCAATTTCACACAAAGCATATAATAATTCCAATTAGCCGACTTTAGGCGAACAGATGTCAAAACTAATTGAAAACAGAGGCATCAGGTAATTTTTCCCATTGGTTTCATTCTTGAGGATATGGTGAAATGTGTTTTTTTTAAGAAATTTCTAACTACCAAGAATTTGGCAAAAGAATTAAACTTGCTTCACATAACATTATGTCAGATGAACAAACATTTACGGGTTTTAATAACATAGGCATGGCTTTATAAAACGCTAACGAGCCCAAAAGAGATATGCCATAATTTTAGCTGGTTTGCCGCTCTAGAAAACTGATTTGCCCTTGAAGAAAATTTGAAAACTTGCTTAGCAGTCTACACGATCTATAGAATAAAGTATGTTTATATATGCAGTCTAAAATTAGAAGATGGATTTAACTTGATGGATCTAGCCAGTCTCAGTAAAAACTAAGTTGTTTAACAAAAACCTACCTTGGCACCTGCTTTCTCGAGCATTTTTGCATACTCTACTGTTTTATTGACATCTTCGTAAACTCTTATCTTCACTGTTAGTGGGATTGAAAGCTTTTCACTGGCAAGACTGACTACAAAAAGAGAATTTCTGGTAACACAACAAGAATCTTCAAAAGATATTCAAATCAATAGATAAGAGACTAAGTAGAAAATTCACATCGAAAAAGCCTCTTTCGAAAAAATTCTGAAATTCTCTCTTAACATTTGCTAGGCAACAGCTTATTGTAGGTAATCTACAATATAACAACATTTAAAAGTTGAAAGTAAATGACAAACGTGTATTAAGTAAGAAGTCATCAGTAAAATCTCTATGATCATGCTTTGATATTTAAAGGAATCATTGCTTCTTTAGTATTTCGTTCTATTTAGTCTTCCAAGCTGAGTTTCAAAAATAACCCAAGATTGAATGAATTCTAACAATAGAGTCACCCAAATCCTTTAGATGACCTAAAGGCTATACTACTAGAATGTTACTTTTTTCTGAATGATCATCAAATTTGTAATAGCTACGATAATAAATAATATAACAATAACTTTGATAATTTGATAAAAGGGAAGCATTTTTGTGAGAACTTGATATGAGAGAGAAGGGATTAATCTGAACCTTATTCATAAGTAGTAAAACTTACCCATCTTATGAAGCAATTCCCATTCATCTTGCAAGAAAGCACCATAATGTCCTAGAAATTACCAGGGAACCCTCAAATTTCTGAGGTTTACTAAACTAGCAAATAAAATCAAATAATCAAAGCTAATAGTCCAGCATAAGGTAGAATGGAAGATAGTAGGGTTCTACAAACATGCAATCGAATATAAAATTTAGGGGCAATAGCTTGACTCAGCTTAAGAAATTCAACATTTCAATAGAATAACTTAAAATTCTAAAGTGTATAAGAATGATTATTCCAGTGTGATAAAAATTGTTCCAGAGAGAGACATACATGCATTCCATAATTTCTTAAAGCACTTTTAAGAGTAAAGAAAAATTCTGAGACTGTAAGATATGGCCTTGGAGGTCCCTTTTCATTTACTATAGGGGGAATAAAAAAATTGCATTCAGTTTGCTAGCAGGCTCAGGGCATTCAGTGGAAGACGCACTAAGGTGCTTGGGTACACTGGAAATTGCCCAGGCAAGGTCACAGGTACAAGTCAGCCGTGCATGCAGGACAGGGGCAGCCCATGGTGATAAGTCTTTGATGCAAAAAGCAATTGATTGAACAGCCATGAGGGCTGAGTGGATTAATATGAATGTTTTCCTCTATATCAATTCCTAAACAGTCCTGACAAGCACCCAACCTTGTCTCAAATTCCACTTTGTTTCATAGCACATTTCATATCTCTTGATGCACTGTTATCATAAAACTTATGTTAAATTGTTTCAGGACCAATTATGCCAAGTAAAATGTAGGTTTAAGACATGTATCAAAAGATTTTGCAAAAAGCTCTTTTGTTCTGCAAAAAGTGGGGGCCATGATATTAGCAGTTTTCTATATCAACCTAGTCTCAGCGATTTAGAGAAGCATGCTCTAGTGACTCAGCGTCTTGCTAATGCTTTGCATAGCCTTTACTTGAAGATCAATGGGTGAAACACTGTTTAAACCCATCGACAGCACTAGAAAACCTGTTCCAAGTTGATTTCATTATTTACACCAAGTTTTTTGAGTATGCAGAAAATTATGCAAAAATAAACCAAGTAAGATGAATCTTCATGACTCTCGCAAGGTTCCCACTCCCCTACTCCCCATTAGCAATTTTCCAGGAAATAATAGCACCTGCTAAAAAGACAGTCATGATTAAATACAACAGGCTTTCGTCGGAAAGGCGTGCGATCGCACGCGCACGCACTGGCGCACGCCTGCTGCTTTCCAGGAGTGCAAAACATCGCACGCCTTCTTTTATTATCGGAGCAAAATTCATAATTATTGGTTTTGTGCGTTTTTGAGGAAAGTTGATATATTGATCCCTCCTTGGTACAATTACTTAATGCCACTTCAAAAAGGCTTAACACCTTGTCAGGATTGCGGATTAAATATAAAATTTTGAAATAATCATAGAACTAATCTACAGTGGAATCCCGATATTATGAAACCTGACCTGGTTACAAATATAGCTAATTTTCCGGCATGACAAAAAATGTCTGGCCCCTTGAACTCTGTCTCTGCACATTTTCCCTCTGTATAACGAATTCCGTATATAACGAATTCTCGTTATAACGAACCTGATTTAGTCTCTTCATCATAATTTTCCTCAATATGACGAACTTTTCCAAAATTTTTCACCGTTATTTTGGTCTACTTATTCCCGGTGTATGTTTATCACTATTTCTCGGTGGAGTCATTATTGCCAGCGACAAAACATACATTGCCAAACATGCACTTTTAATGATGCAAAAAAGGAGAAGAGATTTGTGCAAACGTTTACACCTTTTCAAGGCTTTAAGGCATTTCATTGAACAAATACAAACACAGAAGACTATAACAGACATTTTTTTGTCCCCGAATTTTAAGAGGAACATTTAGTGTTTTCAACAAGACTTTCATTTTCTATCGCTTATGTACGAAAGTAGCCGATTTTGCGATAAAAAGGAGCCGATTTGCCAATGATGCGGAAAAAAATAACAAAGGATTTGCGGATTTCGCTACCCCCTACAGCCCCCTCTTTAGACATCGCTATGCTTTAAATCTAGATTTTAGCAACATTTGATTTAATGAAAATTGGGCCATCATTATCTTTTATGTATCTGGCCAGTGAGGTACACAAAATAGCTGTCATGTTTGATAACAAAGGGCTCTCGGTGCACTGATTTACACGCAAAAACTGCTATTACAACCAGATGAACGCCAAAGCATCAATGATTCTGCTAAGGATTTATTATTGAAGCTAATGAAAACTGCTTACGACATGGCAAACATATTTCTATACTTGTAGTGCCGTTTTTTTTGGATATATTAAATAAGCTCAGTTTATACTTGTTTAGAAAATTGCTCAGTTGCTATAATGTAAGTAGTCGTGGTAAGAATTCAGCGAAATAAATTTCATCAAATTATTGCTGTCATCATTCTCGTGCTGGCCATTTCTTCGTAGATCTACCATAATTACCAAAATGTTTTGTGAAAAAATGTCACACGCCATCACACGCCTGGATGTTTTCAGGGGTGCGGTGGTTAGCACGCCTGCTATATTTTTCCCACGAAAGCCTGTACAACATATAAAAACAGCTTTACTGAACAAATTACTATTTTCATAATCTTATGCCCTTACATTTTGTTTGAAACATAGAAATTGTTTAATAATACCCTGTGGATTAACCTTCCGTCTTTGTCAAAATTGCCCTTGCCATTTATTACAATGTCATGCCTAGTTTGTGTTGTTTGCCTAATGAACAGCTAGCTTGAAATTTTTGTCAAAGGTCAGTACGGTCATAATATTGTACTTCTGAAACCATTTAGTTTCAGAAAATTTGCTTCCTTTTGCTACAAAACTGCTTTAGGCCTTTTCAAAGCCTAAGAAGGATAAACTTAAATGGCACCAGAAAAGAGAGTAGTTTGATTCCACCCCTGCAAAAAATACTCAAGGTCAAAAAATACACTTCTATATTGAAATCAAAGTCATGATGGTATGTATTCAAAAATGTTTTGTTCTAGAAGAAATTAAAATTCCAATTAAGTATTCAAAGATGCATTTTCAGTAACGCAGTACCTCTTCTAGCAATTATTTGGGGACAACCAAGGTTGAGGTCAACAGCATCACAATAGGGCTGAGCCAGTAGTGCTGCTTCTGTGAATGTCTCTGGATCATTTGCACAAAGCTGAAAGAATTAAAACAAAAATTTAACAATCTACTTTAAAATTCACATACATTTCTATCAGCTCAGGCTTGATATGCATTGCTAGACTTAAAGGTTTGGAATTTAGAAGAAGTTTCTTGAAAAAAATAATTTAACAAAAAGACAGAGACACAGAGAAGACAAATATATTCGAAAAAGAAGTCATTCTGTCTCATCAAAAAGAGCTTGAACAAAGGATATGGGGACGGATAAAAAAGAGAGTAATGGGAACACCCACACGTTTCTGTTTTGACCAAAACAGAGTGGCACAGGGTAATGTGTTCAAGAAAAAACATAAGCAGAGTAATGGAAACAGGGCTTTAAAGAGTTATAATGCCCAAGCCTCCCCCCTGCCCTGCAAAGGTCATTAAGATAACACGGACAAAAGAAATTAAAATTTACTTTAGAGAAAATAAACAATCAGAAATTACAGAAAGCATGCCTCAGCAGGTATAGGCATGTGTGGAGGCATATAATATTACCAAGACTGATGATACATTTAATTTTCTACAACTAGTGATAAAAAGTATGGATTTATGAAGGAATCTTGCTACTTGACCAAATTAATCCACCCTTCAATGTAAACTCCACTTACTTAAAGATTAATGAATAAAATGGGGAAAACAAAGAATACTTGTTACAGCAGGGAATTTTTGAAATAAACTTGTCAGTAGAAAAAAGTGTGGCAAAATAAAATGTTCAAAACAAAGGATTTGGAATAAATCAACTACCTTCCTGAACTGACCTTGTGGACAATTTGCTGATTTTGAATATTCTGGTTTTTAGAAAAAATTACTTAAGGATATAAGGGATCATCTACAAATAATATTTTTCCCATTTAACAGAATTTGACAGTTAATGGTTGGATGTCAATAGTAAGGACTTGAGTAACAGTGCAAGAAAAAATATCTTGATAACAGCCATAATATAAAAATCTAGTAATTTATTATTTGCCCCAAATTCAGAATTATTAATGAACTCTAGCTAAATCCCCTCCCTCCTTAATTGGTCAATTCCATTATCTGTGACAAACCTTGCAGGCCACCTCGGGAAGGCATACAATCGCACATGCACACCTTAGCACCTGCCTTGTTTCCCCAAGAAGTGCAATTTATTGCACTCCTCATCAAGGCTCTGAGTTAGTGCCTTTACAGAAACATTTTGAGGCCTTTTTTAAACAATAATGTTTTCATATCATATCCTTAAGCATTTAAATTTAAATCATTTTCAAAGACCTGTTTTTGTGCTTTCATACTGCTCACAGAATGCAAGTAAAAAATATCGGTTTTGTGCTCACACTGCTCACAGAATCCAAGTAAAAAATATCTGTTTTTTTGCTCAAGCTGCTCGCAGAAACCAAGTGCCATTTTGTGTGTTTATAAAAAATTCTTTTTTCTATTTTTAAAATAGCTTTGAAAAAAGAAAATGTATGTTAAGCAAAATAAGTAACAAATTCAAATCTTATAATAAGTAGCAAAATTATACTTTGTCATGCTAATAGTAGCACCCATAGCACCCCTTGATATGACAAGGAGTGTGATTCACTGCAGGCCTGCAAATTTATTCCAAGAATGGCCTGCATTATTTGTTGAAGGCTCCGAAGGTAGGCACATGGACCGTCTTTAATATGCTCCTGAGTATTTTTGATAAAGCCTCAAGTGCAGAACAGAATGCTCCTCTGTCTGCATATTTCCTTGTGAAAATTATATGTGTTATAAGGATTGTTTGCACATATTTAAAGTGCTAGTGACATGAAAAATAAAAGAACTTCACAAAATCCATTAATTACATTGCATTATATAGAGTTGGCAGTGCTGAATGGAAAGGTGTAATTATTTCCTGCATATCTATTCATTAACACAATCATTTCCAGCTTCAAAGTACTGGTTTTCATCAGTCTTTGTTCAAATAAAAAAACATGACCAAAGAGGGTCATTTCCATGTTACCGTCTTCAAAACTTGTTTTCTCATTCTGAAGCAGCTACCTCGTAATTAGATGAAACGTTTGCATCTGAAAATTCCTATCAGACCTTAGGTTGCTCAACATTTTCAAGGCTCTGTTGGTGTTTATGATCGTCAATCATAGAATAACACATCAGAATACGTTACTCTCTCCAGACTCTCTTTGAAAAACCTTCTCTGATTCAAACCCCTTAAAAATGAGCTGGTGGCCCTTATTTTGACAAAATATTTGCAGATATAGAATCGGTGATATTTACTGTCTAATATTAAACCGCTTGTAAAATTTTGATTTTCATGTCAGTGGCGTGGCACTTTATGTAAGGAACCATTATGACAAGGCCTGCTCGGCTTCGAATTCCTTTTCATTTTGACAACAAACCTGGACAATAAGTGGCCTATCCTCTTGACAGCTATCTAGTGCATCTTTCCTATAATTAGCGTCACGAACAAATACCCCAGCGTGCCACATCGGTGTGTAACATAGATCAGCACCATATTTCCTTGACAACATTCTAAAGGCCAGTTCAGACTGATCAACCATCGGCGCTAACATAAATTTCGGGCTACCAAGTACATCTCTGTAAAATTCATATCCGTTATATTTTGACGGCATTATAAAAACTGTCTATATGATTATTTACTAGCTTGCTTCCTTTGTTCCTTAACAGTTTCTTGCGTTACCTTGAGTTGAAATAATAAGAAGATGCGGTCATGTTGAATGAACCTCGTTTCTAGAACTTAAAAAGAGACTAGTAACAAACAATCGCCAGTTCTAAGCATGACCAGACGAATACCCCTTCAGCTATTTCTGATAATGCAATAAATGAATAAATAACTAATAAGTAACATGCAAGTTCTATTAATTGAGCTGCAACCCACCAAACCCTATAGCTCCTACGTCTAGTATCGATACAAGGACGACCGGGCGCTAAGAAATTATCCGAAACATGTCGCCAGCCTGGATGTTCTAGTAGTTGTTGTTTTTTATTTGCAAAAACAATGAGGATGTTATCCTAGAGGGGAGAGCTTTGTTTCCAAAGTTGGTACCAATAACAGACAGTGGTGTAGTGGAGGAAAACGCGGCATAACGGCGTTATGCATCCTGAGTTGTTTGAGCTGCAGCGTTATACTACCTACCAAAGTAAACAGTGCCGTCATGCTTCTTAAATACTAGCACCTTTATACATATCAAAACAATATGACAAGCTAATTTTCGACAATATAAAAACTAAATTGACTAGACTTTCTATACTTGTTTCACCTAAGGTTTGAGCACAAGAGTGTTTGAGTGTGTTTTAAAGTGATGAAAGCCATATGAAGATATTGCTTTTGCATTTTAGACATTTCAATTGGGCATGCGTGCGTAATTCGGAGTTCATTTTAGCCTGGTTTTCACTAGAGTCATAAGGATCGTATCGATCATAAGAAACATAATTTTTAAGTCCGTGTCGCTTATGTTTCTTAAAATCCAAATGAAAACGCCATCATAAAAATTTCTTAAGGATCGTAAGAATATAAAATTATTTGTTATCATAATGTCATAAGTATCGTAAAAGTAGTGAGATTTCTTATGATTTGAAAAGGGCGCTCTTTCCCCGCCACTTGTCTACATGGATCCAGCATGGCTGCTACGAATCTGCGTTTATTCCTGGCAGTGTATATTCTAATCAAAAGATGGAGGCGTCGTAGAAATGCAAGTTAACAAAATACGAGGAAAGAAAGGGTTTTGGATTTCGCAAAATTTTCAAAAGGAGATCTGAGCAAGGTGTTTTGCCAACTTGTAGTTTTTCAAAGACTTGTCTTGCAAGCAGCTGAATTTCACGATAGATATAATCTTTCCGCGCGAGATAGACCCATTTTGTGTACAGAAAATAAATTTCATGTTAAGGCCAACGAGAGAAGGAGCAATGTGTGCGGCCTTCGACTGGAATTCAGGAAATTTTGTCACCTAATTCTCAAAAAAAAGGGACATCCGGTCGTAAGGATCATAAGATGAATAAGTTTTTGATCTTTACGATCCTTATGTCACGAATTTTAAGAGATAAAATCAAGTGCTAATTATTTAACGATTATGATTCTTGGTGTTTTCACTTGATCATAAGCGTCATAAAATCTTAAAATTATGTTCTTACGATCCTTACGACCCTTATGACTCTAGTGAAAACCAGGCTTTTGTCCATGATTGTTTACAATGCCATAATAAGGATATTGTTCATTGGTCACAAAATAAAGAGCGGGGTCATAGAAGAAGAAAATGAATATGCTAACCTGGGTCAGCTGATAATATCAAAATGGCAAGGATTCGGGCACAATGGATAGAGTCATATACATATGGTGTTTTCACATTGAAACTAACATAAGTTGTCAGTGGTACAGGGAAGCATGAAAAGAGCAATATTCGAATGAAAGCAAGAAAATTGAGAAAGGATATAACAGAGTGTGGATACCAATTCCTACATCAACAGGATGTGAAAGATCTAGAAAGGGATCTGCAGAGCATTGTGTAAATCACTAGGATAAGAGTTACTCAAAATAGAAAGAAATCAAAGAGATTGCGAAAGCTATTGGCCTCCTTTGGCCTGGACAGCTGATGGTGATGTGTGATGGTGATGCCCTATGAATTTGTGTGTACGTTAGGGTATGTTAATAAAAATATTTAGTATTTATACACAATTTAATAGTTAAAGTTAATGTGTCCATATAAAAGGACTGCGTATACCCAACTTGTCAAGCCACTCATTAAAATAACGGTTTGCGATTGTTTAGTATTCTTGCGATGCAAAACTGCTCACATGAAAAGCTAACGAGGCCCAGAAAGTTGGTGTATGGGTAAAGTGCAAATATGCAATAAAACTAGTACCTCAGTGAGGGGGAGTTTATATTTCAGACAAAATTAAAACGTCTTTGACGACTTCAAGCAAATGATTGTAAGATATATTCTGAAATGTATTTCAAGCTAATCTAATGGGTGTATCGCAAAATTTTTTCGTTCAATTTGCTTGCAGGAGACCCTCCTTTGTACCTCTACAGAATATTTGACAATTTCCCCTAGTTATGGGTTTTGGAACTTTCAGCTGAAAATCGCAGATTGTTTAAATATTATCATGAAAGTAGGAAAAGCTGTAATTCTGAAAACTGTCGTACATTGATGGGACTTATTGAAAATGTCAATGTAAGTAAACAAATTTTGTTAAAAAATGTTCATCGTCACGTCAATGTAAGTAAAAAGATACCGCCCGGCATACATTAAAGTCTTCAAATTTATCTTTAGAATATTTATGATTTCCGGCCAAAAAGCGAATTTTAAAGATGTTTATTGAATTTTTCCTATTTATCCCAGCTATGACAAGGTGTGTCTCCCTCTCTCGCCGGTAGCTGTTTTCCTATTTGACCCCGAAACTGCGAAGGCGACCTCTCTGTAAACAAAGGCCTAAATTTATGTGATGCATTGACTTGGATGATTTTACGTGCTGAAATGAGGTTAGTTCCCTGTTTCGTATTTTTTCCTTACTGTTTTTGAAGATTTCCCTATTTGACCCCAAACGGCGATTTCCCTATTTGACCCCGAGCGCGTCGATCACTCAGCTGATTTATTTTGAGAAATCTTGTAACCTTGGTGCAGGATGTTTGAAATTTGAATTGATATGAAGAGAGTGTGTAATTTTCGTTGCTATTACTACCTTTTGCTATTAATTTCGAATTAAAACGGTGCTTTTTAACGAGTTTTGTCTATTTGCTCCCGTAGCTACGGAGGAGCCAAGCCTCAAGCTAACGTAGAAGCAAAACATTGCGATTTATACTGCTAAAATTACCGTAGTTGAATTAAAAAAAGCATCTCTAAGGTAGTTTGAAACATGCCGAATCCGATTCCGAGTTTTGTTTTGAGATATCTGTCCAATTTGTGGAGTTATTAACGATTTTCCTATATGACCCCGATTTCCCTATTTGACCCCGTTCCCTATTGGACCCCGAGCGCTACCAACATCTCTTGTGGCTAGTGGTGGTGCTGGTGACTAGAGTGACATTACACGCGCCTGCAGTATTCAAACGCGTCAAGTATGTGTCCGAAAGTGCACGAGATCAGCTACCTTACTTTGTTGAATATATCATTTTATTACACTTTTCATTGTTATCTCATTCTAGATTTGCATTAAATGCGTTAGATGCATACAAAATGTTTTACACTCGCACAAAGCATAGGTGCACAAGACTAGGCCAGCCGCGAACACAAAAGATGTTGGTGTAATATGATCATGGAGGGTCGAGTTGAGGACCCTTCTTGTAAAATTGAAATAAGACGGAACACTACAATCATATTTCTTGGTATCAACTACACTTGGGGTACAAAAGTATAGAAACGATAGTCAATCATGACAGCTCACAGTTGCGAAGGGCGATAAATTTGCGAAACAACATTGCTAGGTGAAGTGAAGGGGCCTCAGTTGCTAGTGTCTTCAGCAGGATAATAATGCATCATTTTCATGTCTTTGGAATAAAAATAAATTTGAAAGATAATTCAACTGTTTTGAGAACAAAAGTAGGGAAAACGTTGAACCAATAATCAGAAAAAATTGTGAAAAAAAATTATCGAAACATCGATGAATGATTAAAATAAAATGTTGGCAAGTTTGAGGAAGCACAACATAATTAGCTCATACTCAAATCTGGATACGTTTGCGTTTGTTCTGACAAAAAAAATATTACTTGGAAGATTCTTTTAGGTGATATATTAGCCTGCAGATTATTGATAATGAAACAAGATGAAAACGATTTAAAGGTGACGTTTAGTGATCAAAATAGTTTATTGTCTAAAAAGCATAAACAGCTTCGACTTAATTCTATTCATGATGTATAAAAGCACAATAAATAAAACCTTTAACACAATGTTTTCATTGTTTCTTGTGTAGATGACAAACATATCATAGATTCTAAACCCACAATCGTTTTGGTCAAATGAAGAGGTCAATGGTCACTTGCCTGGTCGGTCATTCCGTATCAAATCAACCAGGGTCTGTAACCCTTATGTTACAGATTCAGGAGCTTTTTTGTCCATCTCTAAAGTCTGGTCAATTATGAGAATTCCCCAAATTTGAGCTAATTATCTCAAATCTTTTCTGAGATATATGCTTACAAAGTTTTGCTATTTTGTCCAATTATTTGAAAAAGGGCGTGGCACTTTATCATGGTGATTTGGCTAAAATACTAATAACTTCTATGTTTCAACTATTTTCTATGTTTCGCTCAATTTTGTTTTCAACTGAAACTCTGTAAGATGGCAAATGTACATTAACTATCGTTCCCAAGCCCCTTCGCCTAGCAATTTTATTTCGGGAATTTATCGCCTTAGGCCCTTGGCAACTATGAGCTGCCATTTGAACTGTCGTTTCCCCATAATTTTTCTTACCCTATGTGTATGTTTAAACTGACGTAAAATGCAACTTAACAACCGTACAGTTGCAATGGCATTTCTCTTCTTACCTTAACCATACTTTTCAATGAACCTGGTCTTCATTGAGTTTTCAGTATCCCAAAAAACCTCAGGGTTTTTGGACTTGAATTTGATTGATAGACATGTTGTGAATTTGATTAACAGCATGTCCAGAAAAAAGAAGTTTTGGGGGGAAGTGTCAAGAGAAAAGGTCCTGAGGGCCAAGGCACACTAGATTGAGCACATACTATTCTTTTACTTATGAAGTGGCTCCAAAAAGCATGTTTTGGCAATACCAGGATGGAAAATTTGATAATAAGGCAGTGGCCAATTGAATTACATGACATTGCAAAAAATAAATTGTAATTATTGACAGTTTATGAACTGTTTATTGTTTTTAAACAAATAGAAAATATATAGCTTTTAAGATTGTAAACAAAGCATTCTTCATTGGTGAACTTTGCTAATTGAATTCACATAAATAAATTAAATTTAATTAATTAATTAAATTCTTTGGTGAGCCTGGTCAATCACGTTAAAAGCAAAATTTTAAACTTAGTAGCATAGGAAGGGCGTACTTGTTATCAGTTATCTGTTTAACAAAATATCTGCAACAGCTTACCAGATTTCATAGTTGGCAATGTATTTGTTTTTGTAATATAACTGACATTAGAATACAGGCTCATTGGAAAAAAATATGAGATGTGCCTGCCAAAAAAAGTTTTTGACCCTGACCTGGAATAAAATTTCTGAAAACATTATATGTGTCCTGGAATAAAATTCTGAAAACATGATGCTTGTCCTTGAGTAAAAAATAAAAAGCTGATGGTTTGCCTATAAACAAATTTTTCTGATAAAACATTTTCTAAACTGGTTTTGAAAGTTAACCTCTTCTTGAATTCCAAATTAGAGCTTAAGAGAATAGCTCTATAAAGTTGGCAACACTTTCTTTTTGTTACAAACCTGGCCCCTTACCAGAAAAAGTATTATCAATGGGCATACCTGTGCTAGAAAAAAGAGAAGATATAATCCTGCCCCATAATTTTTAGCTAAAAATGTGTCCTGTTGGCATTCTCATTCCTGGTTAGTCATATTATCAAGTAAACAACCTAGGGTACTAGCATGGTCTGTCCTGCACCTCTGAAAACTTCACAGCCATGAAAGTATTCATTTCATTGTAGATACAACTAAAATGATTGTCTTATACATCGCCCAAAGTCTTGATGGATTTATTGCTGAACCAGATGGCTCTATAAGTTGGCTGGATCCATACAATGACAACACTGAAAGTACATATGAAGAATTCCTTAAAGGAATTGATACTATTGTAATGGGAAGAAAAACTTATGACCAAGTCTTAACATTTGGAGACTGGCCATATGTAGAGAAGAAATGCTTTGTGTTTACATCAGGAGAAATCAAAGAGCCACCCAGCAATGCTGATGTATCTAAAGTTGGAGGAGATGTGAAAGATTTTGTCAACAAAGAATGTAAGGACAAGCGAGTTTGGTTACTTGGTGGAGCTGGACTCACTGTGGCCTTTAAAGAAGCAAGATTGATAGATGAGTATATTATTTCCACCATGCCAGTGTTGCTTGGAACTGGTATCCCATTGTTTCCACCATCAAAGATAAAAATAAATTTGAAATGCACCGCAACAAGATTATTCAAGAATGGCATTGTTGAAAACAGATATCTAGCAGCCTGAATGCAGTTTTTATCTGCCCTATAAACAATAATAAAAAGAACAAACTTTTGATTATATTTCACCAAAAGTCTTTATATATCTCGTTTCTATAAACAAAATCGCTAATGTATTAGAACTTCTTTTTATCATTAAACTTTCTCAAAATTTTCATTCTCTTTATGCAGGGGCGGATTTAAGCAACAATGATTGGGGGGAGGGTGTTTGACACTAATTTCTGTGCCACATCCTTCCGGTCACTGGTAAATGATGGAAATGCCCAGCTTTGAAATTTGGTTTTTAACTGTAAGGTAAAGACGATAAGAAGCAGTGGCGTATTCATGGTTGGAAGATTGGTGGGGCAAAGAGGAGAACATTTTTCCTGACCAGTCTCCTAAGAATTTGGGAAAACACCTATTTTTTAAATGTCTTTGGAAAAGCTATGGCATTTTTACGCGGCAATTTCCCTTTATACGACGACATGTGTAGCGTATTGTGGCTGACCATATTCACAACTGTCCGTTTCCTTCACAATTCCACTAACGTTTATATCCTGAATTTTGTAATGCGAGGAAGCACTACGTATAAAAATTGATTTTCCAAAGTTGTAATCAAATTTCCAAAATTAATAAACAGTATTCAAAAGTTTCAAACCAAGTACGTTCTCCTTGGAGCAAAATCCAAGACAAGCATTTCAGAATCCAGTTTTTTAATTTAGGATTGGACTGCTTTAGCATTTTAGTTTTGTCGGGAATGACTCAAGAACGCGAAGGACTTTTCTAAAAAGATAAGAAGATAAATACTGATAAGAAAGTAAAATATTGGCGTTACTTTGTTACTTCTGACTACCAACAAATGATTTTTATCGAATGAAACAAAATTTACCGAAGGACACAGAAATATCGGGGGGTTTCGCACCCCCTACACCGCCCCCCCCCCGCTAAATTCGTCCCTGTCTTTACGTAAAGTACCTAGTAGAATGTCAGAATATCAAATGCTTAGGATTCTAGAAAAACCTACAAGGGAGCTTTTTCCTTGAGAATTAACCCTTTGCCGATTGGCACTACGAACTGGGACACAGTGGTGGTGGTGTATAAAAAGAAGTTTACATGGGTTTAGGACCAAGTAATTCAACTTTGTTTGAAAGAACCAAATAACAAAGTTTTCCATTCCAAGCAAATCTGGTGAAATGCCCTCCAGCCCTATGAAAGTGTTCTCTGTCCATTCTTTCAGAACCTTGAAAACAAATGTGTCATGAGAGCCCAAGTAAAGCTGTCCCTCGTCACATGTACCCTCGCTATTTGCCCGAGTACAACTCGAATCTATTTCAGAATGTCTTGTTAAAGCATACATTGTACGAGAGTCTCCGATAACTTGACGCCAGGGCAGATCCCATCCTTTGCCTATTTTGTTATCTTGGTTAGTAATTGCTACTAACTGGCCAGGTAGACATTTTGCAGCATAAAGCAGTTGACATTTAAGTCCCACGTCCTCATTAACTACTCGAAGAACGAGCTTCTCACTTCGCTGTAAAGGAAGCGAATGCAGGTATTCGGCAGCCTCCCGGTCTCTTACTAAAACATGAATCTCGTTGACAAATTTATGATTAAGATTCGACTGCAGAACATCTATAACTTCCATATGCCTTGCTTCAATCAGTAAATTGTTCTCCTCTGTATCTTTGGATAACTTTCCCAGTGTTTCTCGATATGTACTTTTGTACAAATTGATAAATCCTGTTATTAGAGACAGACTGCTCGAGTTTCTTTTTCTGGCGCAACCATTCAATAGAAGAGTTGCGTTGTTAACAGAAGCCATTTGATTATAGACCTCAAATGAAAATGGAATCATTTCATTTTTCTCATAAGGAACGAATATTGTTCTCACTAATTTTTTCTGAACCGACTCCTGAAGAACGTAGGCTTCTTTGCGCCAGAACCATAGCAATGCAGTACTGATAGGCGTAGTATATCGTTGCCTTTCAATATGATGCCAAAAATGATTGAAAAAGAGAAAGAAAACGATTGAACCAACAACAAGAAGTATTTTATGTGGTTTTGGTAACACCGGCATTCTGTCAGCTGCTATTTGGGTTCCCCCATTGTATCTGATTCGATGTTTAGCGGAGTCAGCTTTATTTCTTGCTCAAAGGCCTTCGATTCCTCCTGAAAAATGGTATTTCAAATAATGATGCTTCGGCTAGCCGCCCGTGCCAACTTTGTGCTGCATACCATTTTGTGCCTAAAATTAAAGAAATATACTCTTCATAACCAAATGAAAATAATTAGTATCAAAAGAATAACTAAAAGTAATTTCTCATTCTTTCTTTCTTCATTTCTTCTTTTCTTCTTTTGTGCCTTTCTGTCTTTCTTCCTATGACTTTCTATGACTTTCTTTGACTTTCTTTGATAATGCAGTAGGGTTTCTTTGATAATGCTTTCTTTGATATCCAATGCTGGCTGTAGTTTCTTCTGTCCTTCAAACATGGAACAGCGATTTTATCTTTTTTCATTTTCTTGTACTCAAAATTAAACCAGTTGATAAAACATTGCAATCTTTATCAATGTAGTTTTCTATCCTAACTATTTAAACTCGCGTGAGAAATGCGTCGTACCATCTGCAAAGTTCTCTAGGCCTACTTTTACAAAATATTTGCTCAAGAATGCGAGCAAAATGAAAACGGCTGCAAGGTGGGACATCACATAACAACTAGTTTCTTGCATCGAATGCATTGAAGAATTTTCATTCACGTGCTTAAAGTCTTTCACTTCATCTATATCATCTTCTCCCTGTACTGCATCCTTTCCTTTACCTGCTCTACAAATATTTTGTTACAGCGACATACGTGTTAGAAACCTTTCGTATATAATCTACCTTGTGTGATAATAAAGAACATAGTTTCTCTTTCTATTCTCTTCTTCTTTAGTTGTATTTTTGCACGTTTCAGGCATCCAGCTTGCATTTGTACTCAAGAATTGCTCGAAATTCCCTACAGTTTTTCAATGATTGAATTCACACACTGAGTCATCTCATTTACTTTATCTCATCTCCTTAGATCTCTTTTATCTTATCTTATCAAGGATAGTAGGAGTTGCGCTTATTTAGACCACATAGACGCGAAGCACTTACGATATTTCAAACTTCCAATCATGGTTTTATGGATCTAGTCAACAGAGTTCAGAAGCCTCAAACTTCTTCCGGATAATTTTCTGCATTATTTACCTGCCTCAACATTTTCTTTGCATGCTTTGATTAGTTTCTTAGTTTCTTAGTTCTTAGTTTAGTAAAGGTTTCTTAGAAATGAAATTTTGTAAAATCATCTATAGTTTAATCTTTACGCTTTGCCAGAAAAAAGAAAAGTTCAAGCATAACATTAATTCTTCTCGCTTTATATACTGTTGTGAGGTGATACATTGCCTTCCTCACAACTACTGCATCGTTGGATCACACTCCACCGGCTCACAGCTGTGGAACCATCATGTTTTCTGCACTCTGCTAGTCAATTAACTAGTAGTTGCTTTATTTCAGGTTATGGAGACACCCTTTGGCTCGTTTTCATAGGCCAGAATGACTGCAACATATTTGTCTTCGAGAGTTTTTAACCCTTCGTCAAAGTTGGAATATAAATATAACAAATAATATTTCAAATAGATTTAGTGATTTTCTTCAGCTACATTTTAGATTGTGATGAAATACTCTACAAGGGATCAATGGCATTATTTCAACCTGCCTAACGTTAGCTAATTTTCACCATAGTCACGCACAGCTTTGCCGCGCGATCAGGACAATATCACGCAAACAGAAGGTATTTCAACTATGAAATCAAACTCCTTTTGAAACAGCAAAAACCATTTTATTGCAAGGAAAACGTAGCTGCATATTACTGCAAAATGAGATCAAACAATTTTTGGTGGTACAAAACTTAAAAATGGCTTTGAAAATGGCAGTGGACTGATTAGTTTTTCTAAGTCTAAACTCGACTCGAAACTTGAACAACTAAAACAGATTTTTCTGGAGAACGGCTTTCCAGAGGATGTCATTTCAGTTTTCATTAAGGAGAAGATAGCAAATTTCTCGGCTGACGTAAAATTTGATCCGCAACAATGCCCGGTCTATCTAAAACTACCCCGGATCGGTAACAGTCCCTTGCGTTTTGAAAACCAGATAAAACAGGCCATTACAAATTGTTTCTTCGCTGTGAGTGCACGTATTGTTTACAGTACAAAAAAGGCCCTTCCATCCATTCAAAAGGATTGCGTTCCTATCACACAAAAGAGTTCCGTAAAATATAAATTTACGTGCCAGTGTGATTCTGGCTACGTAGGACGCCCTACCCAAAGATTGGGGGATAGAATAAAACAGCATTTTCCGTTTAGTATTAGAAACATAACTCATCCCTAAAGAGAACAGCCACCTAGGTCTTGCAAATGTAAAAGTTCAACTAAAACATGCAATTCCGCTATCGGGCAGCATTTACTGGAAAACCAAGATTGTGCAAAAAACTATAATGGTGACATGTTTCGGATTATTGGTGAAGCCCGATCGTCGTTCCATCTAGCAGTTTTGGAATCTATCTACATAAGCACGAAAAAACCTCTATTGTGTAGACAAAAGGAGTTCGTTTTCACCTTAGGACTCTATTGGTAACATTCTCTATAGGCAAGCGGCACTGATCGGTCCACCTCAACAGTCATGTGTTCGCGTTTCTGATTGGCCTATTTCGATCCTTAACTGGGTATATATATTTCCTAGCGTAGAGTTTTCGATCTATGTTCTGACGTTTTAAACTCTGAAGAGTGTCAAACGAAAAGCTTTAGCTTACTCAAATGTTTACTCGTTTCAAAACGAGATGTGAAAATCTGTAATGTGAAGATTATGTCAAATTCCTTCTCCATTCTGAACGATCAAGTAATCCATTGAGTTGTAACTTCTGCCAAATATTTTCCTGTACTAAGCACTTATGCAAGATGTACGGGATCTTCCTTTTGCCAATATTTGCAAATTAGTAATTTGCTACCAAAGTT